CCACAGAGACACGTAGCAATTTTTTTTTTGGGGGGGGGGGGTTCTTCTTCCTCTCAGTGACAAGAAAACATTTACAAAGCTACGAGAGAAAATCTCCATTGAAATCACGTCTCTATGTACAAATGTAAAAAAAACTAAACTTTTTCATTTTGGAAGGTTTCCAAGAGATGATCCTCGTGTACCCTGGCTCCCATTATGCTGACTGCCACTGCTGAAGAAACTTAACAATGCTACTTTAGTTTATTAAACTCTCGAAAACATAGGCGGCCGGTTGCAGTTCCCCAGGACCCGTATCTTTCCAAGACGCTCTAATAAACTACTTCTGTCAGAGCCGTCCCCAGGGGTACGTGGTGGTGGTGGGGGGGCACCCTTCGACATCACTGCAGTACTTCTCATTTTGTTTCGAAGGCGTCGGGCCCCCCCCCCCCACGCGATGTTATTTGTCCCGGGCCCTGCAACCAACCCACAATCCCCTTCTCTCCCTGCGGACGGCCCTTACGACCGCATTGCCTCGGTGCTGCGTAGATCTCCGACAAGTCCTTGAGTTTGCACCACGTGGTGTCGTTGCTGCTGCTGCTGCTGCCCGGCACAATGCCCGACGTTTCGCTCCGCGTGCCCGGGAGCCTCTTCTTAACGGTTCAGTTGCTGAATAAGCTCCGGGCATGTGGAGCTGATCTAAGGAGCTGTTCGCGGTTACTTCCACGGCGTGCACGATAGACGCTCCGAATTGCTTTGTTGCGGAACACTATGCAACACGATTTTTTGTTCCTGGGTAGTGAGTGTCATTTTTCTAATTGCTTATGCCTCAAAAGTATATAAAATGGATATTATTCCCCACAAACGTTTCTTTTGTGACCAGGGCTGTATGTGAAGGAATGACACAAATGCACACGTTTTCTCATTGAAAATAGGTACATTTCAAAATATAACTGTCCTGGTCACAAAAGCAAAGTTTGTGGGGAATAACAGCCATTTTCTCTACTTTTGAGGCATACGCAATTAGGAAATAGCACTTACTACCCAGGCACAATAAATACATATGTTTTTGTTACACAGTGAATTCATTAGCAGAGGAGCAAATGCCACGTTCCCGCGTCTGAGGCGTGGTGACATGAACCCCGCAAACCGTCTCACAGTGCGCGTTAACCTTTCACATTTGCAACACACTTTCAAATCCACCGCGCAGTATGTGTATCAGCAGCGCCGGTTCATTAATCGTCGACGTCAAAATGTTTCCTGTAAATCATCGCGTGCCTTTGTTGTTGCGTGAAGCATTTACCAACAACGTTGCTTTAATGATCAGGATGGCTAAATATATTTAGGATGCCGAGGCTGCCCTCGCCATGCTGCGCGTGGCCGTTTCTTGACCCTCCTAATTCGCTGAACACGAGAAAAATCGGGAGGCAAAAAAAGACCATTAGCATACATTAGATCGGGCCCTCTTGAGACCCGCAGAAAGGGCTCGTGCCACACGCACGCACGTGCCGCACGCACGCGCAGATGTAGTGAACGAGATAACGGGTTTTTATCCTGTTAAACAAAAACTCAAGAGTAATGACTTGTGTGCATTAAGCATTGATTAGCAGCGTGAGCGAAAGCGATCAAACGACCGAACGGCTTGCATTTAACGGCACAAGCGCGACCGAACATTGGACGGATATACATGTCTATAACGGAACGTCTTCATTCAAAGGCTCACTCTTTGGTTGTCTGTTCCATTATATCATGGCCGAGAGCTGGTGACAGTTGATTATATAATAGCCGAGGGCTGGCGACAGTTTCGGGCCACATCTGTGAAACATTATTCTGAGATATGATCTCGGGGCCATTTGATTGCTGAGCGAAGTGAGTTTAGACATTCGTCACGCGCCCATCGTGCAATCCAATGCGAACATTGTTGGGATGCCTGTCATATGCAGAGCGGCTGGGGAGAGTGCCACCCTGGGCAACTGTGGATTCCGAGGTCCCTTGATGAAGAGTTTCTCAGAATATGGCTCTGCGGTTATCCGCTCCCGAGAGCTGTTCTCGAACGCCCAAGGGAGTTGGCTCGCTCGGCCAGAGATCCGAATGCATGGCGACACGGCGCGTTTTGGCGGATGAGCTCTGTTAATTGCGTCAACAACAACATGAAACAAAACGTCGCTAGATGCGATTGCATTCAATGTCACAAACGGGAGCTTTTTTCAGGAATATTACGTCCGATAGAAGCACATTTTACAACACTGTTCCTCGTTCTGAAATGTATATATTTTTGTTAAATGTCCCGTTCCCTATACAACGTTAAGATGCAATTAGATTATCTTAACGTCATCCGCAGGTTCAAGTCCATTTATTTATTTTAAGTTCATTTATTAGGTAGCGCCCTGTGAGTCATTCGGCTCTTGAATCGGGTGCAACCGCAACAAACAAAAAACAAAAACACGAACAAAAAACATCTTAAAGTGAATATGTGACTGAGTGCAAACAGAAAATCCAAGAAAAGACAGTAAAATATTGCAGAAAAAACACCATACACAAAAATGTGCAAAAATCCCAGTGGGATGCAAGTCAAACAACAACAACCACAAGACAACTTAGATTAAGGCCATCAGTCTAACTCTGTAGATTCCTCCCTCCTCCTCCCCCTCCATGTATGACTATTTACTCCAGCAAAGTGCAACATTTTGCTGTGAAGTCGTCATACCTAAATGGGATAATACCTGAAAAAAAAACCTGTGTCTTGACTTAAAGCTTTCGTGAATGCAGAAATTCATATTCTTGGCTCTTTCGGTAAAGTCACGTAGATAGGTTCAAAGAAAATAACAAAAAATAACAAAACACGTAGCAGGCTTTCGCGACCAATATTATTCATAATAAACGTTTTTGGGTTAAATCGCGTTATTTATAAATGTGTCGTAACCCTCCACCACCCGACACGGCCAATCAGCAAAAAATTGTCACGTTGACAAAAAACAAATAGTTCACTACTTTAGCCCACCGGTGTGTTGAAAAGTAAAACCACAACATTTACAATTTTTGAGTACGACGTTTCGCTGGTAATTGCATCCAGCATCATCGGGCAATTCGCCAGAATGGTGAGGCTCTGCTCTTCAACACACCGGTGGGCTAAAGTAGTGAACTATTTGTCTTTTGTCAACGTGACACTTTTTTTGATGATTGGCCGTGTCGGGTGGTGGAGGGTTGTAAATAACGCGATCTAACCCAAAAACGTTTATTATGAAAAAATAACAAAACACTGCGACGTTTCGATCGCAACACAAGCGGTCGTCTTCTTTGAACATATCTACGTGACTTTACCGAGAGACCCAAGAATATAAGCCCTATTTACCTAGCTAGGAAACAAACATAAATATCTCCCGGATAGCCTTTTAACACTGTGGGGACAAGTACTATGAAGGTCGGCAGGTGACACGAGAGGGTGGAATGGCAATCACCACGCCTGGCCGCCTTTGTCTCCCCAGTGCTGAGTCGACGTAGGTGGGAGACCCAGAACCGGTTCAGATATTCTCCACTGTTGGCCATGAAGCGAGATTCTAAACTCAAGTTCGTGATTTCGTAGCGCAATGAGCTCACCACTGCACCACCGCTCCCCACTTATGTACACAAAGACAAAGATGCCCCACGTTAGAATGTAACAGACTGTGCGGACAAGTGATGTTCGCGAATGCCGACGACACCACGCCCGGCCGCCTTTGTCTTCCGCAAGCGCTGACAATTACAATTTTCCACCAGGTACTCACTTAAGTCCGAGCTGTCCGATGGAGAGGGCCAGAATCGGTTTCAGATATTCATCCAGTGTGGGCCACGATCGAGGGATCGAACTAAAGTCAACTGTGTGTTCACCACCTATACTGCCGCTCCCCCACACCCCACACTATGGGGCCGTCCATAAATGACGTCACGCGATTTTGGACGATTTTTGACCCCCCCCCCCCCTTTGTTACACGGCGTCACAAAAAGTCAGAACCCCCTCAAATATGACGTCACAAAGCTCTGCCCCCCCCCCAAAAAAAACATGCTTTAAATCGCTTTAAACTATTGTCATTGTAATGCGTATTTAATGTGGCGCTGCACTCTTGTTGTAGGAGAAAACATTTATTAAAACGTCTATTTAATTAAGTAGAACGTGTTGTCTATATTTATTTAAAGTTGCGCATTTTGATGTGATGTCACATTTCTCAAACCCCCCCTCCCCCCTCGTCACACATCGTCACAAATGTCTGACCCCCTTCCCAGGCGCGTGACGTCATTTATGGACGACCCCTATGTACCACACGCGCACACATAGCAATGCATGGCAGAGCACGCCACGTTGTTGTTGGTGGGGGGCGGGGGGCCAGATGTGGTGAGCAGTCAAGTACAACATGTTGCCATGAATCTTAATTTGAAGCTTTAGTGACTGCAGGAATTACTCTTTGGTTCTTTCGGTAAAGTCACGTATAAAGATAAAATAATAAATTAAATAATAGCATAAAGATAAAATAATAAATTAAATAATAGCATAAAGATAAAATAATAAATTAACTAATAGCGTAAGGATAAATAATAAATTAAATATTATTATTGTTATTTTATCTTTATACGTGACTTTACCAAAAGAACCAAAGAAAAATTCCTGCAGTCACGAAAGCTCCAAAATTAAGATTAAATAATAGCATACTACGACTTTTCGATTGCAACACGAGCAATCATCATCAGGTATAAAAGAAAGAAATAGCAACAAAAATCTAACCCGAAAACTATAGACAGACATGTGTATCTTTGTGCTATATGTCTGCTTACATGTCTGTCTACAGTTTTCTGGTTAGATTTTTCTTGCTATTTCTTTCTTTTATACCCGATGATAATTGCTTGTGTTGCAATCGAAACGTCGTAGTATGCTATTATTTAATTTATTATTTCATCTTTATACGTGACTTTACCCAAAGAACCAAAGACGATTTTGCCATGAAGTCGTCACACACTCTGCGCTGACATTCCGAACGTGCGTTGCGTTGCAGGCACCTTCTACCGCAAATCGTGCGCATCATCAGCCGCGTGTCTAATCGCCTCGGCCGGCTACCAATCGTTCTGCTTGCCGGGCCGAGTGCGTTCCGTGTGCATCAGCTGCTGCAACACGCCACTCTGCAACGGTCCCAGATCGTTGAAGCGTCGAGTCGTCTTCGGTTCTGCGGGCGCGACGAGGCAAGCGCGCCCGGCACTGGCGCTGCTGGCCGGCGCCTGCCTCTTCCTAAGCGCGCTCCGCTCTGCGCTCCTCTGGACCGACGTTCCTTCCCGGCCTGCGTACGCGTCGCGAACGCCGTAGCGGACGGGCGACGAGCTTGACGGTGAAGATTTGAAGAACGTCGTCTGGCGAACGCCGCACAATGCTGGGGGAGGGGAGGGGGAGAGTTAAACCATGGTTGTCCAAAAAGTTGGGAGATGGGGGCGGTGGAGTGGAAGGTTCTGCTATTCGTGATGTGGAAATTAAGCAACTGCTTAACGTCCGCGAATGAGGAGGCACGTGCCAGCACCAGGAGCCTGGTTTATCGTTGACTTGTAATGGCTTATCTATCCACGTGACTGGATGGCTTAGCTGTAAGGATTGCCCCTTAGAGGTATGTCCGCCGAATGAGATGGCACCTCCCTTTAATCCAGCAACATGGGACGCCTGCAGACGCATGCTGCCAAGATTGTGTGTTGTTCCGTGTAGATGGTTCTATCCGGGAACGTGATGCGGATGACACTCACCTGCTCCGGAACGTGGTGAACAATGTAGCAGAGATTTTCTCCAGGCACTCAAGTTTCCTCTTACAAGAACAACAACAACAACAAAAATGCTCCAAAAAGGATTTGTCCAAAAATCCCAAAGCAGAACCTTGAAGATTCCACAAAGGCTGTTCCTGGTGATGTTTTAACACGAAATAAACAAAAATTAAAGACTTAGCTTTGCGCGGCTTGCTTTGGTGTCATGCAGGGAGTACAATTGCACTGACGTGTAACACACCAGGGCAGCGTCTATGAACCTTGAAGGGAATTGGAAGTCACTGTCGTTGTGCCACCATGCTTATAGGTGCGGTTTAGGTGATCATACACCAACCATTAACTTCGCTCTGCATAAAACAAGCCAACGGCATGCCACAGCAACTGTGCAATAATAATAATAATGTAATTTAAAAAATTGACATTTAAAAACATGGTTCCTTTTGACTCCACCACGCCTGAGAAATTATATTTTAATTCGCCCTTTGTTGTACAAACTCGCAAGCGGGCAGCCCTCATTGATTCACTACCAAATTTGCAGTCAACGACTCGAGGACATGAGAGAGGAGCACTCAGTCTCTCGTTTTCATGCCCCCCACCCCCCGTCTGCCACAGCGATTGTGACTGCGTCTGCAGACTCCGAGAAACGTCTGGCTCCCTCGTGGGCAGCTGCGTAAGGATGACGACTCGATTCCGTGTCCTGGTGTACGGACTCCTTGTAAAAAGGTGTCAGTTTTGTTGCCAGATAGAAGGGTAAAAAAACCAATTATCATATTTTTACTGGCAAATGAGGTTCCCAAAGTGTAAATGCTTGCCCCGAGCTCTCATACTCTGATGGTGCATTGTCTTTGAGCTGTGCGCCTTTTGGCGTCATCTGGTCCAACCCATGTGAGACTAGGCTCTAAGGAAAGCTGTCTCGGGTGTGGACCAATCAACTTCAAGGACAGTGCACATTATCAGAGTTATGTTTTTGTTTGTATTATGACTGCAGGTATTGCGGTCTATGCAAACATGACTCCTTGTAAAAAGGTGTCAGTTTTGTTGCCAGATAGAAGGGTAAAAAAACAATTATCATGGTGTACCGAGGTTAAGGGAGTTCTAACGCGGGCAACTAATTCACTCTGTTGCGAAGTATTTCAATTTTTTTTTACATTTTATATTTCCTTATGACATTACAGACAGCGACGCATCCTTCTGAAAGGCCGATGCACACACATCGTAATCAAGGTCTTCTCCGGTTGTGAACCAGTGGATGGGAAAATACGGGAAGAAATAAATAGAGGGAGACGTTATTGGAGAATATAGGATGATTACAGGGGGAGAGGATGGTGGGATGAATTATCATTACGGAGGGAAAGTCAAGACGAGGAAGGAATCAACCATTGTGGATCGAAGTTTTCTAGATAACTGTAAAATATTGGGGGGGGGGGGGGGGCGGGCTAGTTTGGACAAAACTCTGCTCCCTTCAAAGTCTCGAGAGGCAAGTTGGTCAACACGTCCTGTGTTTGAGATTCCGTGCACAGAGGAATAGTGCATAACACATACACGACTAACACAAGGGTACAGTATTGTTGAGAATATCGAACGATATGAATTTGATTTCCACATTGCAGCACACAATTTTTTTTCTTTCCCACAAACCGTGCACAGTGAATTGAGCTCCTGTTTTAATTAGTACACATGTACTAATGTTTTCGTTGTATAGCGATGGAAATGAAATGCACCACCAAGGTTCTTGCTTCAACAATCACACCGCCGATCATGAGTAATTTCCACTTGGGATTCTGACGACAACAGTGTGACTTGTGTGGGCTGACTGGTTCAGGGTAACACTACTTATATATTCCGTGGATGTTTGCATTTGTGCTTGTAGGGGTTTTGTTGTTGCCTTTAATCAAGTCAGTTGCTCAATATACATTTGCAGTGGCAGCTCACCAATGAATGCCAAGTGTAACCTGGAAATGGATCATTTACTCGGTGTCAATGGGAAAAAGAAATTGCACAGCATCGAATGATGTTTGTCATTGCCTATGATGGTACTACGAATGCACTGAACATCTGATCTTTTGAGTAAACAGCGTATGGGCGGTGGCGGTGATGGTCAACAATTGAGAACAAGAAATTGAATTAAAGTTTGCATCAAACGACTGCAGTGTGTGCAACCCTTTTTGCAAGCCACTACAGGATGGACTGACACCCTCCAATGCCTGATCGGTCATGGGGTGTTTCTGTGTGACGATGCTGTTCTTCAGTGGCGACCAGGAATCCAACTCGGGTCACCAATGAGTTCACGTTTTCCGACAACCACTCCGTCAATGCTCTCCCCCCTTCATCAGTTCAATAGAATGCATGCATTGATGCCCTGTGAAGTTCTATTCGTTTCATAGAATGCGCGCAGTTATGTTAAGTTGTGCTAACTGGTATTGAAAACATAAAGCAATAGGAACAAGTCGGAGGCTATAATGTTTAGCATTTTTAGTCGTACAATTGTACCAAAACTTGGCATTCTGACATCAGTGATGCTGTAAATGTGTTATATATATATACAACTGTATTATCCGGATTACAAGACGAACTCCCCCCCCCCGCCCCCCTGTTTTGAGTAGATGAGTTCTCAACGTTTAGAAGAGCCACACGAAATCTTAAATCTGTATTTAACCAATCTCGATTCAAGGGGGAATTGCTCGCTAAACAATGCGGTTTGAATTGGTGTGAAAACAGCGGCGTACAGGGTCAACATATTAACCGACAGAAATGCACAACATTCTTTAAATTATAAGTAACGTTTTGCAAAAAAATATATACAAATCAGTGCAGTATTAAGATGAAAAATAAAGTTTCCACTTAAAACTTTCGTGACTGCAGAAATTAATATTCTTTGGTCCTTTCAGGAAAGTCACGTAGATAAAAAACTAAAATAAAATAAGAAAAAAATAAAGGTTTTTTGCTTTTAATTTTATGAATGTTTTTTTTTATTTTCTATCTACGTGACTTTACCGAATGAACCAAGAATATTAAAATAAAGCTTTCAGTAAAACACAAAATAAAGCTTTCACTAAAACACAAATGTAGACTCCAATACGGCATTGTATAGCGTGTCAACTGGCCTGGTTCTACGACAAAATCGAATTGATTGCAGCACTTACGCGAGCAAGTTGCCAAGATTGTTTTGATCATAAATGACGTGACTTTACCGCAAGAACCAAAGAGTAATTCCTGCAGTCACGAAAGCTCCAAATTAAGTTTAAGATTGTTTTGAAGAAAATATTTCGTGGATTCCTCCCCAAGCGCTTCACCATACGCGACTCAATGTCGCCATCTGGTGGGCTTGCTGACCGCATTTACAAGTGAAATGTACCGCAGTCATCGGATTACGCGACACGAATTTCCCCGCCCCCCCCCCCCCCCCTTATATTATTCCAATTTAAAGCAGGTGGAGAGAGTGCGTCTTATACTTATCGATCCAATGAGGCGGGTGCGAGCGAAACCCAGATTTGTACAACAGCATCGATCAAGATTGAACAGCATCGATACCGGGAACAGGCTTCGGGGTGCATCTTGCTTTTCCGGAGTGTCTTATCTTGGGAGTAGAGTAATAGCGAATAAGAGCACTCCCACCCGCACCCTCCTAGTTTTATAGTTCATGGACTACATTTTCTTCTCTGAACAATGCGGCATGTTGCTGGTACCCGAGTCGGCGGCTGTTTAGCCACTGAGCAGTGATGGTTCGATGCCTGCAGCCGTCCCATTAATTTTTAGCGAAGAAAACCAAAGTTGGCCGTCTCCTGGAGGGCGGACGTTGAAATACCTTGGTGGTACCATTGAACACACAAGGTGTACACGGTTGTGCGCTGTTGTCGTAACGCCCGAATAATAACAGCATAGAAAATCCCTTTAAGATAAACGTTGAGATACGCGACGCGTTAACTCGTGCAAAAAAAAAACCTGCGCAGAGAATTCAACAAAGTTCTACTTTGGTGCATAGCATATACAATCCTGCCAGCGAACAAGCAATCATTGTTGTCATCAGCCACGGTCATTCCACGGCTGGATGAAGGCCTCCCCCAAAGCTACCACCTGCGATGGAATAACAGTAACCCGCCCAACGCCTGCTCGACACACAAGCAGAAATGCATCGATCCATCTCCTTAGATGGACCGTATTTCCCCTGCACGTTCCATTCCTTGGCTGCCACTCACTCCGTTATTTATTCTCTGACCATGTTGTGTGTAAAATGTAAATCTCAAGGTCGTAGATCAAACAAATTGGGCGAAAATGTTCTGCAATAGCGTGGTAAATTAGTAAAAAACAACGTATTGATGCCTATTCTTTGTGTCTTTCGGTAAAGCCACGTAGATAGAAAAAATAATAAAAATATGTTTTTTTCACCTGATGACGATTACTTGTGTTGCGATCGAAACGTCGTGATATTTGTTTTATTTTTTCTATTTACGTGGCTTTACCAAAAGACCCAACGAATATGAATTCCTGCAGTCACGAAAGCTTGAAGGCAAGTATTGATGCATGTAATATTTAAATTAAAGTACAGAAATATAACTTTCCGCGTAGATATACGGTAGCTTTATAGAGTTGGCATCGATGCGTTCCAAATACAAATTGGCAAAAGTCGAACCTTGTCCCATCGTGGTCAATAAATTCCATGTTTACATTCTCTGATGATGTGTAAATTATACAATTTTACGATCGCTTTTTTTAAATTCACGTTCATCAAGCAAGCTCTTGAAAGAAATTAAGAGCACAAAGAGAAAGGCCATTAGCTAGTCCGTTAGCATCACGACCATTTGATGATTAAAGTGCTACTTTTGGTTTTGTACTGTCTGATTGATCATATCTCCACAATCCCAGGTGTGCATACTGTAATGGTCACAATGATAAGCAAACCAGTTTGGTGATGGAGAAATGTAAGATAGTGTCGTGGAAACACTGGATTGTCTTGGAGTGACCTTGGGATATTCCAAAAAGGATGGCTGCATTGCTGATCTCAGGTGGCACGATGGCTTTAATGAGCAGCCACTGATGACACATGAGTATGAATCATGATTATAGTTGCACTTTCAATGTAAATATAAAATGGGTAGTACAGATGAATGTGTGTCTGGCCACAAAAAAAACCGCGTGTCTCCATGGTAGAACGAAGAGTTTGTGCTAAATGTATAAACGACTGCTTGTTTTGTGAACAATGGTGGTTGATTGCAAAATGCAATAGATAAATCTGAAGAAAAAAACAATATATTTAAATAAAACCTTAATACATTATGCAGTGTGTGATATTTTGCTTTGCAGCTTTCAATTACACAGTGATTAATAGCGGCTGTCACATTTAAGTCGTTTACATTTTCACGCACAATACGGTCGTGGAATGATGGTCGATTATTGCAAATGTGAATAATGCGGGCACATGGTAGAGGTTTGCATTTATTATTCACTGCATTTTCTCACACAGCGATTGCGTGCGATGTACACGCACGTGGGAGATTTGAAGGGTACGGTTAGTTGGAAAGCAATGTGTGTGGTTCACATTTATCCTGACATTGTCTTTTGGAACATTGCAGCACTGCCCTTGCGTTCATTTGAACACCGCTCGATGCTGCCCCGTTAACTTGGCATTTCAGCGGACGGCATTCCACAGCGCTGTATGTTGTGGGGCATGAATTTCGAATTAAATTTCATGAGATATCAAATGTGCAGACATGTGTTTTCTTAATAGCATAAATAAACAATGGAAATTCCTGAAATTGCTCTCATCACAATTGCAAGTACAGTCATACGTATACGTGATTTCTTATTCAAATGAGCATTGAGGCAGTGCTGATATCTTATTTACAGTGCAATCCTAAGAGAGTATATACATAGGAAACCACTGCTGACCTACGCACAAAGTGGTGCTCATTTGTTCAACCCAGAGGGATGATGGGCCGAGTCATCTCCTAACCAGGATTTGAACAAGTAACCCGTCAGATTTGCAAGCTGCTCACTCGATCCGACTTAGCGCGACTCAGTCAAGCCGCGTGTCTGTGGACGTTGAAGATTTGTGCAGTCCGATTTTCGAGTCACTGAAATTAAGCATTCACCGTTAATGTACAAAACTGATTAAAGCAATGTCTCAATGCCTTCAAAGAGTTACGCGTGGGATTTCTTCAGGAGCTCTTGGTGTCCTTCCACATGCCAACTCATAAACGGAGATGACCCAGCATCATCCCAATGCAAGACTTTCTAGAAAGAAAAAAAGTGCTCACGGTATGAAATAAGTATTGTACATTGATAATCTCGACAAGCTTGCTGGGTAGGATACCTCGGAAAGATTATCCTGCTACTCTCAGGAGCTTTGATAAGTTATCAATATTTGGCTGTTGCAGTCTTTGGCATTTACACTGAATATTTAAGAATGCTAAACGTGCTGCAGTCGTTACTTAAGACAACCTGCAGTGATTCAGTTCTTGAATAAATTACGTATCAAGGTACATTTCTTCTTTTCGGAAACTAATGATCACTGCTGTCATGTTTACAAGTTCGACTCCGTTCATGCACACACTGGCCTTTTTCTTGACACATTTCATGATGATCACTTCCCACGCACCACCAGCATGTGGCGCTGTCCAATGGCCTAACATGTGCATTTCACGTTTTGTTTTTACATTTATGCATGCCACAAGTAGCATGCAACAGCTTCCATTTTAAACAAACCTACCACTTGTCAACGATGTGCGGACGAATATCGGGGATGGCATATACACTTCGGAATTTTGCGCTGCCTGCAATCAAACTGTGACGCTAAAATAGGTTTGCATCACGCCACTCCTGGCATAAGGTCCTGCAACAGAGCTCACGGCAGCCCTTCAAGAAGTGGTAATTTGGCCTGCTCTACCACGCGAGCCAGACATCTCGAGAGAGGTGGGAATACCCAGAACGTTAACCATTACATCACGACAGCATTACACGCTCCCTGCTAAATAAACTAAAAATGGTGTTTTTGAGTAGTTATTACCATCAACAAGTACATGAATACTATGGTAATGTATAAGTATTAACTATAAACATCTGTTAAAATGGCATTGTTCGGTCACAGTAATGATTACACATTAAGGCATCTGTATACATATAATAAACATACAAAATGACTGTTAAATGACAATTTAATCTTTTTATTTCATTCCATCATAATTCAGAACATAGCAATTTTACTAAATTATTCTCCATAAAGGCATCACCATTACAAAAAAACCTTAAACATGCACCATAGCAAATGTTGAACAATCACGATTCAAAAGAAAGTCAAAATAACAACAGGCTGCAAATATAAGTGTATATATATTTTTAAATGCGGTTAAACCCCTATTCTTTCATTTAAACCCAATGATAAAATTCCACTTTAAATGCATTACATTTTTAACACCATGAATGTGTGAAATAATATTACTTTGCATGTGAAGCTGCTGTCGCGAGACTGATCACAAGCAATGGATGGATGAATGCAAAGTAGAGTTTGCATCGGGTATGATAAAGCATAAGATCACTATTCGCACCATCCCTTGGTAGTGGTAAATTTATATTTTCTTTGTCAACCGCGGCGTTGTTGCAAAGAAAGCCCATCGATTGCCCTCCCTGCTCCCATCAAGCAAGCAAAACATGGAGAAATAACATCAAGACTGTTGTATAATGTCGCAAATTTGGTGCAACATGCCCTTCCAAGTGACAAGCTTAAAGGGAAAAAAAAGTCACCAATTTTCTAAAAACGTTTTGCTGTTCCATGTTTATAAACTCTTCATTAAAATAGAGAACAAGCCAATGTACGTAAACTGCTAAGTCGACAAATCTCGTTGCTTGAGCATTCACTGCACCCTCCCTTCTCCAAGCAACCTGTTATCTCCCCGTACAGCGGCCGACATATATATAGGCGAGAAGCTTCTGCTTCAACGAATAATCAGTGCGCAATCAGCATTTCCTTTTGAGCTGCCACTTATACTCGCCTGCAGCAGCTGCTTGCCAGCACTCAACATTCGTGTGACGTTTGAACTTACACTCATTTACACCCTCTCGTCCCCGTTTTCGTGCGACCACTTTTGCACACCTACCACTTCTGGCCAAATCGCTTCTTGCACAGTGTACCTATCTAATATACCTTACAAGGTAAGAGACAATAACTCTGTATATGTATAATTATATACAGCGTATATACGCAAATATGGCTATTCAGTTGCAGGAGAGATGACACTGGTCAAAAGATAGGTGTTTACATTTGTGAATCAACACACAAGGTAAGTTGGCTTTTGCTGAATCCCATTTCCAGTATTCAAAATAATATCCAGGTTCACTTGCCCAGCTGCAAGCACAGACCAACATATTTTTTAAGCTGCACAAAAAGGAAATGTAAAGTGTACACAGTAAGTACGTTGAATATCCCACCGTCACGCATTCCACTTTTCCCAATTAACTGCCCACACCCATTGATACCATTTGCACGTGGTGTAACCATATTTTTTCCATAGATGTTACAAATTTTGAGTTTCACACTCAGTAATGTTATCATTCTCACATACATTCGCTTACTTCGAAAGAAGTACAGTAAAGCATTTTTATTGTTTTACAGCAGTTTGCACTTCATGTTTATCCAGTAACCTGTTTGTGTACGGCATAACTAATTTTCCATATGTTCCCATATCTGCCTATACCTTAGTCCCCAGGGAGTTGGAAATACACATCCGTTCAACGAATAAATTGTTAACGCCAGACCTGTTCAATCTGCAATTCCTAGAATGGACAAACAAGGTGAGTGAACCAAGACATTAACTTGAATTTTTACCAATTCAATTGACTGCAGTCAAAGACAGTATTAAAATGGGGAGAAAAAAAAACATTTACAAAAGACAGAAACAATCAAGGCAAATATCATCGGGACTTTAGGGTAAGTGGCCAGAACATCCGTGTAGTTCTCGGACGTGTTTTTGCGTGCACCGCGCTTGTTGTTCGACATAATGGGTTGCGCCACATATTTCCATGCCAAACAACACGCAGATAAAAACCCAAAAACACATCGGTGAGCGATACAGCACGACCGCGAAAACCTTATGCAGTTGCGCTACAGCGTTGGCCCGGGAATGTGTACGTGTGCACTATTTCTTCTTTGTTGGGGATGTGGGGGCGATGGGAGAGGTGGGGGTGGCAGGTGGCGAGGCAAGGGGGTGGCTGGGTTGCGACGGGGGTTGTGGCGGTGGTGGTAGGTGTGCACATTTGCGACCCTGCAGATATGCTCGCAGGGCTTCCCCGTCACGGTTGAGCCACGCCGCATTAAGGAGGATGTTTTCGCACGACTGCTGGACCGTGCGCTCGGCCGATGGGGTTGGGTTTTTTTCAAAAAACTCCTGCGCAAAGGGAAAAACGTCGGTGAATAACGAGTGCCGAAGGCGATGCTGTTTTTTTGACCGAGTCACAAATATGCTCAGTACTTACGCATGCAACGACCATGGCTAGTCAGTGCAGGTTGGTGAAGAGGAGAGCCCCAAGTCTGGTTCGGATGTCACTCACCGCTGATGTTAGCCGTGGCAGGGCATAAAACTGCTGGGTTTGTGGCACAATGCACTAACCACTTGCCTATTGGTTTAGCAAACCAGCACGGTGAATTATGGTCAAACAAGACCCACTGTTGATGTGACGTGGTAACACATTCATCCAGCAGTGGACTGTATTAAATGTATTGAACGTGCCGTGCGGTTTGAACGTTCTCACATGCCAATCGGTGTGATCGTTACCGAAACTGAACTGGGTTCAATTATTCATTCCTTAACCTATGGAACTGATGATCAATTTCTGAAGTGATTATCAAAAAATGGCAATTGATTGAGAACCTTTGTAAAATATGATTTGCTTTTATTTGCATAAAATGCAATCTAGATTTTATACATGTGGTGATTTCCCACCGAAATCTGCTAAAATCAATAAGGTAATTACTGTTTAAACGTGTACACATTTGAGGATTGACCCACCTTGACTTGGTTGGCCTTCTTTTCACTTGCAAAGTTGTCGGTGGTCATCTGTCATGAGAACATTTAACATGCAATCAAGTACAGGTAAGGAACCAGTAAAATTGAGAATGCTGAAATGTATACATGATTATTTGCTATTTTGTGAATAACAGAGTTTTGTATTGTTGCAATATATTAAAAATGATGCAATAAAATTATAGTCGAGTTAATATATTATGCCATATTTCCATTAAATATTCATGTGGCTAATGAACATGACATACATATATTCCCTGAATATAAATGAAGGTACAATTTTGATATTAATTTTGGAATGTATTGCTTAATGTCAGCTAAAACACATACGTAATATTATTATTATGTTGTGTTTAGTTTGTTTTCCTTCCCCCGCACCTCCGGTTAGTATGGCTGGCCACGTTTGGTGCGAAAGAAGTTCAACATATTCTTGGTTCTTTCGGTAAATTTACGTAAGAGAAATAATAAAATAAAATACAAATATCAAACTATAAAATTCTCACGACGTTTTGACTGCAACACAAGCAATCATCATCAGGTGTGAAATCCACAGCAAGAAAATTTCACACCTGATGATTGCTTGTGTTGCAGTCGAAACGTCGTGAGAATTTTATTTTTTATATTTATTATTATTTTATTATTTCCCTTCTACGTGACTTTACCGAAAGAACCACGAATATGAATCCCTGCAGTCACGAAAGCTTTACATCAAAAGTTCAACATACATTCACAATCTCACAAAACACTCTCCCGCTTGGAAAGCACTACGCTAAGTATATGCTCCAGTGCTTTACTGCAGGGGCCAACAAGGTGAAGAGCCCCACAATTCCTTAATGAGCCTGAACATCGGGTGGCCTGGGCCCTGGGGGACACAGCGATGCCTTAATGGTGTGGGTCTGGGAGCTTGCCGAGGATACCCAACCGCTGTGAAAACGTAACGAGATGACACAGCTGGAAGCCAGGGGGCGTACGATACCTTGATGAGTCGAGGCAGCAGGAAGCCGCCCTGATAGCGGCTGCTTAACTCGGCCCACTTCTCCTGAACAAAGCGCCAGGCCATGCTCATGCCCAGCTTGCTGCTGCCTGCCACGCCCCCAATCACAAACACCGTGTCCTGCGAGCGTACTTCCTCCTGCAAGGTCAGAGCGCGCGTGGGTTGGGACGAAAGAAATGTATTCAATTAGATTACACGCGTTGTACTGAGTGCCGTTTGCAATGACGTCTGAAATTTCGCTCCGCACGCCGGGAGCTTGTTCAGAAATTGAGGTCAATTCAGAAACTTGACTTGGACTCCTTTTCACTTGCAAAGTTGTTGGTGATTAATATTTTGTGAAAAAAATGTTTAACATGTCGTAAATTCAGTTGCTGAAGAAACTCCCAGCGGGCTAAGCGAAATGTCAGAACACCATCCCGAGCGACACTTGTTACAACCTAAAAAAACACATCGCAGGGCTGTACAGTACAACCACATAGATCTACGGAGTAGTACAGATTGCAAGCTCTGGGAGACCTACTTAATGTCACCTACTAAAGCAGTCAAAGACTCAGGCTTGGGAGCTACCCTCGGGAACTATGGGCTATTCTTGGGGTGACCCGCATCAGAAAACTTTAAACCCACACGACATAAGAAATCCGGCCAGGTGGCTCAGGGGTAGAGCGAGTGGCTTGCAATTGGAAGCTTGCGAGTTCAACTCCTGGATGGCGGTTGAGACTCAGCCCATCATCTCTGCAGGCTCCACACAATATCAGTATCACTTTGTAGAGAAATCAACAGTATTTGTCTTTTGGAGAGACATAATCCTACAATGTGTACTTTCCACCATTGGCTCAGGACTGTAAACAGGAGATGAGCACTGCCTACACATGCCCATTTGAGCTGTAAATCACTTTCGCTTGAAGTGAAAAGCTTTGTTCATTTACCATCTTTATTCTCACTTTCAATTATATTTGACACCATGTGAAAAACATAACTAATGATGACAATTTGTGCCCAGCATCAGTTCTAATGCCATTATTTGGTTGTAAAAATATATATATATAAATGTGCAGCCCTGCAATTGCTTTCTCACGCCACTACATGAAGGGACTCCACTAGAGGGAGCTCTAGGGAGGGTATTTTGGCCTATTCTTCCACACTAGACGGACGTCTTGGAAGCGGTTACAGTACTCAGACTTTACCCCACCACACGTGACCTGCCGATCCACTTTGGCGTGTAATTTATTTGCTTGGGGGACAGAGGCAGTATGTACCCATCTTCCTTTGGTTGTATAATCATTAGAATTCATCCCAGAAAGATGCGTAATAGTTCAATAACTCCTATCTGAATGTCAACGTCAACTCTTCCGATGGAACACACCAAGTGGACTGGAAGCCACCCCTTACCGAAATGGCGAAATTGAGGACCTTTTGGAGCAACTCAGCAGTGGGGGAGGCACCAACAATCCGTTCAATCCTCACCCTCTCCTCCAGCTGGTCCGTGTGCTTGTGCATCTGTGGGAACAAGCAAGCAAGGCTCATATGAACCACAATACTGTGTTAATTTCATCCTCACAGCAGCCGCTTTTGGCTAACCATCGAACAAAGACGGTCACTGCATCGCGCGCTGTGATCTGCGCTTCTGCGGCCATCTGGAACGCTCTTCCTTCCGATATTAGGAAGCCACTGGAGCTATGCACTTTTTAATCTAAATGGAAAACTAATTTTCTTTAGAACTGCTTTAGTTTGTTGTTGTCCTTCCCCCGCACCTGTGATTAGCATGCTTGGCTATGTACGGTGCCAAAGAAGTTCAACATACATACATGTTCATTATCATAGCCAAGTGTCTCATAGGCCAATGGCTACAGACGTTAAACATTGGCACATCGTATGTCGATAATGCAACACACATCTAAAAAATGTCCCCAAACCCCGCGCGGGTGCTGCATGCACACGCAAAAGCACGTCCAGGGTTTCTGTACGGACGTGAGCGTGGCTGCACACAGTGACTTGATTTATTCAAGAAACCTGATAATTTGGCTGCAAAACAGACTTTTCCCCAAAGGACTGCCTGTTCAGCCTGGGGTAATGAGGCCACTGTTAATTGGTGTCCCCATTAAAATAAAATAAAATGAGGTGGCTATTGAGAGGGAGTGTGACACTACTGCCCCTCTTGATGTTTGCACCACCAGCAATGAGCCCTACTTGACGGTCAGCTGCCACACCTGCCAGCGCAGACCTTGAGTGGTATTCAAAAGATATGCACGTTATCTGGACGCACCGCCACTATGTGCCAATCGTATGCCAAAGTGATGTCAAATGGGCATGCCCATTATTCACCCTCCCAACCCCGCACCAACCCAGCGTGATTCGCTCAGTTGTAAAAATACATGGCCGTCTTCTTGGTTCTTTCGGTAAAGTCACGTAGAAGGGAAATAATATAATAATAAAAATAAAACATCAAAAATAAAAATTCTCACGACGTTTCGGCCACAACACAAGCAGCCGTCCTCGGGTGAAGAAACAGAGCTGTCGGACGCTGTCTTTCCGACAGCTCTGTTTCTTCACCTGAGGACGGCTGCTTGTGTTGTGGCCGAAACGTCGTGAGAAATGTTATTTTATTATTTTATTATTTCCCTTGTACGTGACTTTACCGAAAGAACCAAGAAGATGAATCCCTGCAGTCACGAAAGCTTTAAATCGAAATTTAATACGTGGCCGCTTATTTAAATAAATTATTTTTGTACTGCGCTCTCCGTCTCGTGAGCTCAGTCTGAATGATTCTGTCTCATTCTCTCAGTTAAATCTAAATTTCATCATCGACCATGATCTATCCATCGCTGGACAAAAGGCCTTGCGCCAAGCCATCGCGAACCCACTAAACCTCCAAGACACTCGCTGGGAGACACGGACCTTCAGCAATGTGTCCAGCACGGCCGCGTCGCCGTGCTTCAACACCGTGACGTAAACCTGTGGAGACAAAATTAAAGACCCTTTTTTTTTAAAACGAAATTGTATATATTAAATGTATTTTTTTACATCACTTGTATTTAGTGTTAATTTCATGTATTTGGTGGCATCATTTAAGTTTTTCTCAATGTCTTAGGTTGTAATTACCAATAAATGTAATTAATATGAAATTGCCCCAATTAGTTTAATATTTGCAGTATGCCAGACATCCCCCGTAACAGGAAAGGCTCCACCAAAATCAGCCCAGTTGAGAGATTTTACTGTGCAATTTCAGAGCGGATTGGTCCGTATATTTTTGCTGAATAATAAAAACATGAACAAATGCTACAACGGTAATTTGATTTAATGTTATATGGGACATTAAAAAAATGGCAACATTCTTACTTGCCGACTTGCTTCTAAAATGTGTTGACCTCTACGAGCCTATTCAATTCAATTTAATGTTTATTTGTTATACACGAAAAAACCCATTTATCCAGTTACCCAGCTAGTTTGCACGGGAGATCCGTGTTGCGTCAGCACCGAACAAGAATAGGATCAACGTAACACGTCCGGAAGAAAAGGCAACAACGGAACTGAACGCATCGGAGGTACAGGCAAAAATGTGCAAAGAACAAAACTCAACAATATTAATAATATAAAATAAGATTAGGCTTTACCCTTCCTGGCAATGACACGTGAGGTGTTATAAAATGTTCAAACACCAAATAGATAGCTATTGCACCAACCACACATACTTGCGGCAAAACATTCAAAGAAACATTCCCTGATAATATATGCAGTCTCTAAAACTGATTGGCCTACACCAGAGACAACCTTCTTTATGTTAACGGCTCAACCCAGCTATTTATGCTTTTATATTTACATTTCCATTGTACTGTTTGCCTTTGACGTTCTCTGGTCTAACACTGTTGAGACAAGGCCATAAAGAAGGCTGTCCCTGGTGTAAGCCAATCAGTTTCAAAGACAATGCATATATTATCAGAGCAAGTGTGTTTGCATGTTTAGCCACAATTATGTGTGGTTAATGCAGACTTGATGCCTTGCAACCGGTGTCCATTTGGTGTTCGAACCTCTTAAATACATGTGTTGTTGCCAGAAAAGATTAAGCATATTCTCCTTATTTTATCATCTTGATACTGCAAAAATGGTCCCATATATATCAACAATATAAACTGACATACTGCACCAAAAAAAACATTAAGTACTGCAGCCATGCCATCTGCCCCGTAGAACAACCCACTCGCTAGAGACTGCTCTGAGGCATGTCTACGCACGTACCATTTGGCGCAGATCAGGGTGAAGGACCTTCTTGCCCTCTGTGTGCTCGTGGAAACGCCGGCGAGCCTCCTCCAGTGTAGGAGGGTGGCCTGCCCGGCCCAGGCGCCCCAAAGCAATGCTGCGGAGCAGGGAATCCAAGTGGCCTGCGTAGAGGTTAAACAGGAGAGGACATGCACACCCCCCCTCCTGTTAGACAAACTGTAAAAGATAAAGCATTTAAATTTCGATTTAAAGCTTTCGTGACTGCAGGGATTCATCTTCTTGGTTCTTTCGGTAAAGTCACGTAGAAGGGAAATAATAAAATAATAAAAATAAAACATAATAAAACAATTCTCACGACGTTTCGGCCACAACGCAAGCAGCCGTCCTCAAGTGAAGACCAGGTCTGTCGGGGAGACAGCATCTGAAGTGTAGTGTATATTCAGACGCTGTCTCCCCGACAGACCTGGTCTTCACCTGAGGACGGCTGCTTGCATTGTGGCCGAAATGTCGTGAGAATTATTTTATCATGTTTAATTTTTATTATTTTATTATTTCCCTTCTACGTGACTTTACCGAAAGAACCAAGAAGATAAAGCATTTGTTGTGGTATGTATACCGCACTCAGAATCACGTGTCTATAGAAGTGTGCGACAAAAAAAGGTACATGTTATTGCAGATGTTTATTAACCATAAGACTCCATTGTGGCATTACAGTCAGACCCCCTCTTAACGACCACAGAGCCCAATGTGTAGTGTCTAGTAGTGTACTATCTAGTAGTGTAGTGTATAGTAGTGTAGTGTATAGTGTAGTGTATAGTAGTGTAGTGTATAGTGTAGTGTATAGTAGTGTAGTGTATAGTGTAGTGTATAGTAGTGTAGTGTATAGTAGTGTAGTGTTTAGTGTAGTTTATAGTAGTGTAGTGTCTAGTAGTGTAGTGTTTAGTAGTGTAGTGTATAGTAGTGTAGTGTTTAGTAGTGTAGTGTATAGTAGTGTAGTGTATAGTGTAGTGTATAGTAGTGTAGTGTATAGTGTAGTGTATAGTAGTGTAGTGTATAGTAGTGTAGTGTTTAGTAGTGTAGTGTATAGTAGTGTAGTGTATAGTGTAGTGTATAGTAGTGTATAGTAGTGTAGTGTATAGTGTAGTGTATAGTAGTGTAGTGTATAGTAGTGTAGTGTCTAGTAGTGTAGTGTATAGTGTAGGGTATAGTAGTGCAGTATAAAGTAGTGTATAATAGTGTCGTGTATAGTAGTGTAGTGTATAGTAGTGTAGTGTATAGTAGTGTAGTGTATAGTAGTGTAGTGTCTAGTAGTGTAGTGTATAGTAGTGTAGTGTATAGTGTAGTGTATAGTAGTGTAGTGTATAGTAGTGTAGTGTTTAGTGTAGTGTATAGTAGTGTAGTGTCTAGTAGTGTAGTGTTTAGTGTAGTGTATAGTGTAGTGTATAGTAGTGTCGTGCCTCCATAGAGCCCAATGTGTTCATTTACTGACCATTCCACTATTAACCACGGGCTGTTGTAGGTACAGAACATATTAATTAATTAATTCACCATGTTTCTTTTAATATTATGTTTTTTATGTTTTTAGTATCTTTATATATTAATATGCATTGTTTAAATATTATAAAGTACGTTTAATGGGTGAAACGGAGTAACTTTCAATGCTATAGGAACGAATTAAGCCTTTAACGTGTATTTCCTGGACTCGCTTAATGACCAAATCACTTAATGACATGAAGAGGGGTTCTACTGTTTATATATATATTTAAAAGAGATGCACCATTTATAGCAATAGCATAGTTTTTTGTTTCACACCCTACAAATAGAATACCATTGTATTAGTTCCTTCAATTGCTGTCCACAGTAGATAATGTACTTTTCATATGTAATTGCATACACATTAAACGCTGCGAGTGACATTAATTCAAAATCTACATCCAAAAATGCAAATTGAGCTTCATCTATCATCATTATCATTATCCATGATTTATCAACTGCTTCCTTAAGTCATCGCAACTCTCTCAGTCTGGCGATGTAGCAACCTACCTAGCACATGCACTATAGCTAATTTAAATGCTCCATCTCCTTGTTAGAGGTTCAACCTCTCGAGCACATTTGCTGCCTTTGCTATCATTATTCTCTTATTCTCTTCTAATGATGTGTCCCTGCCTAAGTCAATCGTAAAAAAATCTATACCTTGAATTAAAACTAAAACATCGGGTGGAGCAAGCTACAGCTACATATTGTACGAGAATCTATTTGACACTAGACACAGCCAAAGCCACTAATGCGATCGCAACCTCATTGCCAATGCCTTCTGCCATCTGCCGCAGCTAATGCAGAGTGGACACGTGATCTGAAAGATGTGCCCCGAACATTATCCCCAACCATCTGCTCTTAGGTCTTCCCCATAATCGCCAAACTGATGGAGATCACTTCCACGCTTGTCCCATTACCTGGACATCCTGCGCCCTGCCCACATGGCCTATAACTGCATTATCATTTTTTTTAACTCAAGTTTATACCTTCCTGTCGTGTTTCACGGGACTGAAATGACAAGCTCACGGAGTCACCCGATGGGGGTGTTCTACCTTCGCCAGGCTTGGGGTCCCAGCCGAGCCGTGTCCCGATGGGTGCGAACAGGTCAATGACATAGTCTTGGAAGTTGGAGTAGAAATCGGTGTTGATGAGAAGAACGGCAATGGATGAGAGGTTGCCGGACAGGTCCATCCACACCGTGTAGTTGGTCTCATTCTTGAAGGCCTCCAGGACTTTGAGAACCTCCACTGCACTCACAACGCCTGCACGAGCCTATTCATGCACGCATGCGCGCACACATGCAAACGTGGGTATAAGCCTACCGCATGCATGCATATAGTAATTAGGAGTAATGATGCATCAATTCTCCAATTGAAGTATGATGTTTAGCCTCATTATATACATGCGTGAAATGCACGCAAGGATTCATCATGTTCTCTTTGTATAATAATTTCAGCGCTTTGTCAAACGACTGCAGGATGAAGGCCTCTCCACTGTTGGGGGTTGTTGTAACCAAAATTCACAATGCTGCTGGTCAGTGCAGGTTAGGACAAGGGAGGCCCAGGACTCTGGTCAATGGGTGCATAGCATAGTATAAGTGTACTTTTCCAGCAATTGTGTCCATTCACTGGTGGATGAAGGAATTCCACAGCCAAGCAATTCATGGAGAATTATTAACCATACTTCACCATACTCTTTAATTTTTTCGGTAAAGTCACATAGGTGAAAACAAAATAAAATAAAACAACTAAATTAAATCACGACGTTTCGGAAGCTTGTGTTGCTTCCGAAACGTCGTGATTTAATTTAGTTGTTTTATTTTTATTTTATTTAGTTTTCACCTATGTGACTTCACCGAAAAAAAACAAAAAGTATGGATCCTTGCAGTCACGAAAACTTCAAATCTAGAATCAAATCTAGAATTCACCATGCCAGTTAGTGGGATGATAAAGGCAGGCAGCATTTATGTGAAAGCATATAAGTACAGTACAACAATGAATATTGCTACAATGCCCATCATGTAGCCCCGAAAGTTCCAAGACCACTTGTTTGAATATTGGCACGTCACAATGAGCATTCCAGAGTGGTGGCGGTTCCACCTGAAGACGGAGGCTTGTGTTGCTTCCGAAACGTCGTGATTTAATTTAGTTGTTTTCATTTTAATTTATTTAATGATTTTTTACCTACGTGACTTTACCAAAAAAACCTAAAAGTATTCCAGAGCTTGTTTGACGTAAACATACATAGACAATGTGCGCTGAAAAAAAGGAAATCAGTGCAAATATATATAATATCCCAAACTGATTGCGTACAATATTTCTATACAGGAGAAACTCAAAAACAAGAATCACCAGAGCCATGAGGTCATTCTGAAGGTCCATGCGGTCGCGTGCTGGAAGAGAGAGGTCTCTGATGGCTGGGATCAGACTGTAGAGCATGTCACTGGTGTAGCTGACGCGGCAGAACCCCACCGTGCCCGGATTAAGCTGGGGAAAGAGGCGAGTATTGATGAGTGACAAAATCCACTGGGGTAAGCAGGCATAAACAGGGGATCAATTCAAGTGTTGGTGAAAAGCAGTATATACCAAAATGCAAAATGGTGTGCCTAAGCCATCTCATCCGATCTTTACGATTTGTAGAAGGGCTATTGGTCAAAAAAACCCGTAAATGATTTGCCATTAAAAGCAGTGTTATTGACATTAGAGCAGACTATTCTAAATGTACGGATACATCGAGTATTCAATTCATATCAATTGTTAGCCTCACAATACATACGTCTAATCTTGCACGTGTAAATATATTATTTTCGATCGTATAGCTTGTACGTAATGGGCCATGTGACCCCTGCTGCCACTAGAATTGAAACAAAATGACCATAGAATTGAATCGTGACCCCGACTTGTGACAATTCATAGAAAAGCAATGGGGCGAATCGTTACATGGGGATGGAACACACGGAGGTGAGTTCAGCGCATGAGGTCGCACCTTGATCCAGTGCTTTGGATCGATGTTTTTGATGGTGACGGTCATCTCAGGCTTGTCCAACAAAACTGTGGTGTGTATGGCATTGGGATCCTCGCTTGTCGAGACACTGATTGGCACCATCCATTGCGGGCAGATCTCACCTGTCGAATATATCGTGGTCAATTTTACCTCCAAAAAATACTCACAATTCCATGAAATATAAAAAAAAACACATTCTTAGGTTATTTCGGTAAAGTCACGTAGGTAAAAAAATTAAAATTAATAAAAGTAAAATAAAAATCACGACATATCAGAGGCAACACAAGCTTCCGTCTTCAGGTGGAACCGTCACAGCACGATTGCTGTATCAAGTAAGATAAATTGATACAGCAATCGTGCTTTGTCAAGTAAGATAAATTGATACAGCAATCGTGCTGTGACGGTTCCACCTGAAGACGGAAGCTTGTGTTACCTCCGAAACGTCGTGATTTTTATTTAACTTTTATTAATTTTAATTTTTTACCTACGTGACTTTACCGAAAAAACCTAAGAATATGAATCCTTGCAGTCACGAAAGCTTCAAATCTAGAATCTTGAAAAAAAAGTTGGGTGTTCTATATTATATAGACAAGGTTTTTTTATGCTCAAGTGAGTGGCTTAAATAATTAGCAACTCAGCAAAAATCAATCCCAATTTATTAATACATCGTATCTATTCATTAAATTCAAAGGCAGTAGTATCCAGCTATGCCAAGTTCACGAAGCAGGGTTACGAAAGTATTTTATAATTTCCTGCATTAAACACATAGATCCACTAATAGTAACATTAAATCATTTATGGCCCTTTGTCAATCCAATGCTGGATGAAGGCCTCCCCACAAAGTATTATTCATGGATGTTATTTGACAATACTGTATTTACTATGCTGGTAAATCTGCAGTCTGGATGCACTGAGCTATTTAAGCGATGTTTGTGCCTTCTTCAGACTCAACAGAAGAGAACGCTTGTAATCACTGAATGTTTGGAAAGTTGATTTGGAGTTTATTTTATCAACTGCCAAAACAGTCATGACACTTAAGCAGTTTTTAGGTGATCAGTCGTACCAGGGCGTCCCGCAATCAGTAATTACATTGGCTGGTAAACTGCTTTTCACAAGAAATATGACTACTGGCTTTGATGGTATAAATGACGCCCAATAGTCCTCTGTTTAAATATGTGGGGTTTATGTTTACAGAAGTGCCATGCAATTCCATTTCATTACTCAGTCATTACTTTATTACTCAACAACTAACAATTGTAAAATTGTACCAAGCAGAATGTTGTGCTAATTCTGTTAGAATTTTAGTCTGTAGAAAAAAAACATACTTTTTAGATGCGAACATGATCTACAGATGCCAAGGCCTAAATAACGAAATATAAAAATTATCAAAACCATTTATGAATATGAAACAGCCATAATAAGATTACATGAAGTAATTAAATCCGATTTGTAATGGGAGTCAGCCAAGGCAAACCAGTCTCACCCAAATTATTCAAAGTGACACTAAAAGATATTCACTGAAAAATTATTGTCATTGGAATAATGGAATAAGGATGGTTGGTGAAAGTATGAAACATCTCAGCTTCACTGACAATGTATCCTTCACCAAAATGGTAATGAAATACAGGAAATTACTGAATAAGTAAACAAAGAAACCTGTAAAGTGGCACGAAAGTCAAATGAGCAAAACAAAAGTCACGTACTAATTTGATAAACCTGAGCGAGAATGAGAATTGTCGGAGTGGCGCAACGGAAAAAAAATACAAGAGTGTGTATGGAGTCAACTGCGATTGTTGAAGGCAGGATTAGTGCTCTTGTTTGAAAGAAAAATGAGCGATAACGGGAGTGCTTTTGATAAGCAACGTACTAATGTACGTTAAAGAATAACGTTTTAAATTCTTGCACATTACGTAGCATGACCTATAGATCGTTCCATGGAATCTGACAAACAATGTGGAACAAAAAAGCTGAATAAGTACTCCGAGGAGTGAGGAGTGCTGCTTGCTAGGAATTACAATTACAGAACCAAAACAAGGAACATGTGGATAAGATACATCCAACCTGCCTATGTCAGCTGTTATTTCCGACTCTCTGTGCGTCTCTCTCTCTCTATGCCTCTCTCTTAGATCTCTCATGCTCACATGTCCTTTGCATTGCACTCTCATGCCGTTGGATTGCACTCTCATGCTCACATGTCCTTTGGATTGCGTTGTCATGCCTTTGGATAGCACCACTCTTCGTTCTTACACTAACATGCTAATCTCTCACATTAACATAGCCACTTCCGTGCCTTCGTCGAGGAGGCCGCTCTCCTTCTATCTTACAGTTACATGCTAATTTCTCACATTAACATCACTAGCCCCGGCCACTTCTGTATGACCCTTGGGCTGCACCCATTTCAAACCTTTTAAAACAGTCTGCCTCAGCAGCAGACCATGCTTTCCAACCTGATGACGGACGCTTGTGTTGCGCCCGAAACGTCGTGATTTATTGTTTTATTTTATACCTACGTGACTTTAACGAAAGAACCAAAGAGTATGTGGATAAGAGTACAGATGGAATTGCGACCCATTACCCCGACTTAAGAAAAGTGGCCTTTGGCATAGTTATGGACATCATAACATAAAGAGGGAAGGTGATGACAGGTGATTTAAATACATAATTAACGTGATTTAGTTTATAAATTATGAACACACATCAAACGAGGGTGAATGCAAGGATAAACGGATCTTGTAATCATACCAGAAAAGACACCCCCAGCGCAAAACTTCTTCTGTGAAATTTTCAAAATCCTGTCTTTGCCTTGCTGTCGTATAACAAAATAGAACATCAACATATTAACGTTCAGCCTTCACAGTCACCGCTTATTTTTTCACCGAGGAAAAACATTTGATAAGACTTTGAACAAATTAAATGTACTGAAATGGAACGATGAAATCAGCTCATGCAGTGGTATTATGTGGATTTTTGGCTCGCAGAACATTGATGGCTGCGGATTGCATGTATGTATTTTGATCTGCTTTCACACTGTACGGAGCCAACCATGCTAATCTAAGGTGCGGTGGGAGGGGGGGGAAGGACAACACACTAAACACAAAAAGCACAACTTGCTTCTGTCCACATCCACTACACACTTCCACTCTGACATGTCCTTCCTACTTGCCGCAACCAAGAAGGACACAAATTCTGGACGACTTCATCCAGCAGTGGAGTTTATGTCATGGCTAATCAAGACGAATGAGCACGGCTCCGATGCGGAAGTGCGTGAATCCCAGAAACGGACGGGTGAGGTTGGCGGCGAGGAAGGTAACGGGCACAGCACCTGCTCGGCTGTCACGTGCAGCACGGGAAAGCCCATCTGGGTGGTCCAGGTGCACATCACGGCGCTCACGGGTTTGCCGCTCGACTCCTCCAGGCAGTCCCACAGGTCCTCTGCAACGCAGCCGCGTGTTGCATTAAGCGCCCACGCAGTACGACACATTTTACAGGTACCCTGGTGATGTACAATGATCCGGTGGCTTTCTTCTCAACAGGTGATTAACTAGATATTGTGAGAGCGATAGCTCCATATCTTACAGAGGAGTGTTAAAGTATTGAATAGGTGTACAGTGCAGTCTCCAACTAGGATTCACTATCTTTCTGGACCCAGTATTTGTGATGAAGAGCCATTGCCCAAAAATCACCAATTATACAAATGAAGTGGATTGAGATTTGGTGGAGGCTTGTTGAGCCTTGAAATAATTCTGACCCACACTACTGGACATCTGTGAAAAAGAGATTCACAGCTCACCAAATTTCTCCCGAATAAATAAAGATTCAGATTTTGATTCTGAAATAAAATAGTTATCTAAATGTATTGCCCTTACTTCAGTGGGGTATCTATAAATGGGTCACCCTATATCATGTAACTTACAGCCCTTTGTTAAACCACTACTGGATGAAGGCCTTCCCCACTCAACGTCAGTCATGGGGGTTGTTTGACGATACTTCAGCACGCTGGTCAGCACGGTTTGGTGAAGGAGAGGGTGAAGACCAGCACAGGTGAAGATGTAATTCACCATTAATGTCAGCCATGGCCGGGAATCGAACTCGGGTTGCTGGGTTCATAGCAGAGTGTACTAACCACTGGTGTCACCCCCTCCACCAAAATGCAATACAATTTGGGTTTATAATATCTAAATGCGACTGTATCCCATGCGAAGATGGCGAGCAGGGCAAACTGCAAATAAAGAAGCAAATGTAATTTGGTAAAAAGTCGAGTATAACTTTAATTCAAATCTGTAAATGATGAGACAATCCATCACAACAGAAAAAATATGCCAGTTTTGTACCCACAGTGCACATTTTTGTTTGAAGTAAAAAAAAACGATTCAATAAACCAACTTAATAGACTAAGAATTCCAGCTCGACAGCATGATACAAGTTAAAATAAAGTTAAACCTGCTGCGGGAGAACTTACGTGTGGCTGCATTTTTGTACTGAAACTTTGTCAGGTACAGATGCATTCCTTTTCGAAAGTCCTATAAAGAAAAACACATAAGAGCGTGATGGTTTTACTCTTAAGAAATTAAAACAAACCTAACACAAAGCTGATTTTCCAGGAGACAATCACTGAATGAATGAGCAACTACCTCCAGAACAAATAAAAACTATTCATCAATAACAATGCCTTTAAAATAATGTTAAATAGGTGTGACGTTTAATTCAATGGCTCATCAGAGCAAATACATTGAGCACTGACTCATTCATATGTTTTGTGTAGGTATTTTAAGACAGTTACTTTTTCTGCATTGGAGGTTGATGATTTTATATTTGTAGAGCGCCTTCACACAAGCCGCTTGATGAAGTAAAAAAAAACGTTGACACACTACGACGATTTCGATGGCAGGGGCGGTGCAAGGGTTGAGAAATGAGTGATCGCGAAAGAGGGTACTTAAGGGATCACAAAAGGGTAGGGGAGGGATGGGAAGGAGTGAAGGGGCAAGGGAAGGGAAGAGAATGGGCAAGAGAGAAGAGGTAGAGAATCCGATGAGGCTGCTTTGGCGATCTGCGCTGGGATCACTTGAACCAGTTTCCAAACTGGGCCAGGATGTATGTATGTATGGATGTTGAAATTATTTTGCGCTGCACGTAGCCAACCGTGCGAATAGGTCTACATTTAAGTGGTTGTGGGAATGCTAAAATACATACAAATAAAAAACATCAAGCGTTCAAAATAGTTTTCGTGAAATAGTTAAAAAATTCTACATCATGGGACCTCCTTTGCCAGGAACAAAATATGATCATAGGTTTTCCCCTTTTTTCTGCCAATCAGTTTCAAGGACAATGCAGATATTATCAGAGTATGTTTTTTGTTTGCATTCTGACCACAAGCAGTGGTTAATGCAGACATGATTCTTTGTAAAAGATTTCAGTTTGGTGTTTAACATCTTAACACCTATTTTGTTGGCAGAAAAAATGGGAAAAACCTATTATCATAGTTTTAAAATTACCAACTAGATTCCAAAACTCTGCCTTATACCCGACAAAAAATAAACATATTCCTTCAAGACTATTAATAAAAAAAACTCCACGAGTGATGGAATGTGGAGCGATGGAATGTGGAGCGTTCACACGTTCAGTGTGGCTCACTCAGTGTTTTCTTTACTAATGACAGCAGGTGTGCCCAACGAGGAGCCATTAAATGTGTTTTGTTTAAAACACTCTTAAAGTAACATCATTAGCAAATGTTTGGTTGTGAACCTTCAAATAAATATTCGGCGAATTCTTTGGCAGCAGTTTAGAAACACAAAATGAATCATGGTAAAGTATTTCCAGCCTTGGCATAAGCAAACTGTACGAAATATCTAAACTGAACTTATGCATTGCTACTATATTGTGGAGTTTTTTAAACATTATTTTCTTTTTCCCATTTCATTAAAATTGTGAGATCAGAATCGCGTCACACCAGATTAAAATTAATCCAATTAGAGAATGGCCCTTGGAGAGAGACCTCAGAACAACCTCTGCATTCCCTTCAATTGACCCTATTTATCCACACAATTGGGAAAATATATTCCCTAATACCCCGCTAAAGATACATTTATGACATGGTCATCAGATTTATGGAAATTTTTATTCTCAAAGTGGACTTAAGTTATATCAATAAAAATTACATTGACGTGGTTTTTAGTTGTTCTAATCATTGGCAACTGGACTCAAAGCATTAATGAACTCGCTTCACTTGATAACCCAGTTTAATTATGGGTGGCTGTGGTTGGATTCAAACCCAGGCCCTTGAGCAGTGTCAGCTCAGTGCTGTGACCCGAGACAACTGCTCACCTCCAGAAACATATGACAAGTAAGTGTACAGGGGTTTTGGGGAAAAAATTGAAGATTCTGACCGCATCCCCAATGTAGTTGTGTAGCATGCGGATGACTGACGCGCCCTTGCTGTAGGAGATGGTATCAAAAATTTCATCCACCTCCGATGGGTGACCGACAGGTACCTGAAATGATCACAACACAAGACAATAAAATATCAATGTTTGTGCTGTGTGTGTTGCATAGCCTACGGGTACACAACATGTAAACACAAAAAATAAGTTAAGAAAATTGGCAAAATATGCAGTGCTCACATGTACTCGAATATATAGTTTTTCTTGAAGCTGGAGGGTAATTTTATTATAACTATGTTTTTTCTTTTCACATCAATTTTCAAGAAGAATAAAATAAACATCAGAAAAACTGCTGCTGGTGATTCGTGAGATGTTTTTTTTTACGTGAGTTGTTGTAAAGTAGGCCTGTAACGATTCTCCTCCTTACAATTCGCTGCATTGTTAAAACTAAGTAGCTGCTGAGGCCACATGATCTGATTACATACAACATACAAAAAAATTAAACTGACACACACACACACCTATGATGCAAATACATCATTAGCATATTAATACGTATTCTTGGTTCTCACGTAGAAGGGAAATAATAAAATAATAAAATATATATTTGTTGTATATTTCTTATTTTATTATTTCCCTTCTACGTGACTTAACTGAAAGAACCAAGAATATGAATCCCTGCAGTCACGAAAGCTTGAAATCAAAATATTAATACATGCTCATCAATGCATTGGTGCACCTCTATTGTTAAGCAAAATGACGGCATCTACATTTGCGACACATCAAAAGGTACCTCGATGGGGTGGCTGTTGTCAAGGGCATCCAGCTCCAGGGCGGGAGCGTAGTCCGTGGAAACAAACTGTGTCCAGATGTCAAACTCGGGAAAGCAGTGGTCCACACACAGGTATTCAATCCAGGAGGCAAAGCCCTCGTTCAGCCACAGGTGCGTCCACCATTCCTGAGAAGCGACATTACAACATTATTTCCCTTCTACGTGACTTTACCGAAAGAACCAAGAAGATGAATCCCTGCAGTCACGAAAGCTTTAAATCGAAAATTACAACATTGGTAGCACGCATTTTTCAGGTAGGCGCTGTCAAGTTACAACGGGGAATTGTCCGTGTTGTCGCGTACCATCGTAACGAGGTTTCCAAACCACTGGTGGGCCAGCTCGTGCCCCACAACGAGGGCCACCTTCTGCTTGGCCTCGGCTGATGAGTTCTTTGGATCAACGAGCAGAGCCAGCTCCCTGTCACATACCGCGAACACCGTAAACAGCTGTGTCAACCAGAAATCAAACAGCATCCTCTGTGAAACAAAACAAGGCAACCACACCGTAGGGCTTCAGACGTTGCTGCCGCCATATTTATGCACTAGACCATCCGAGCCGAGCCAATGTGGGTGCCTCACAGTGGCTATTTACTCTATCGAGTCGAAATGAAACCGTGATAACCCTAGCCTCACAAGACATTTGGCTCTGGGATGATGGAGAGCAGGAGAAAGTTTCTCATGCTATTATGCACACACACGATCCCCAACAGAATATGTGCATTGCCCTATGGGAAACCAATGACAAAGAGAGGCTCGTGAAAGTAGCACTGGATTCAACTGAGCATCAGCAGCGTCAATGACTGGAACTGAGCACATAGGTGCCTGTTGGAAAAGCCTTTTGAAAAATATTGTTTCTAAATCCCTGGGAATAAAACTGAAGAATTACATCAGTAACTGTGTATATCATTGGAATTACATTCATAAAAGCATTGTACCTATAGGTGACCAGTCCCCAGTTTTCCATGGCACCTGAGAGACAAACAAAATCACACACATCCCACATTAAAATGTCATTGCCACATACTATTCGACCAAAACAACATGTTTTAAAATATAAATGTATTTATTTAAAAGCAGCATTCTGTACATAATTAGAGACCATTACCAACCTGTTGCAAAGTCTGCCACTGCAATCAGGTCAATCTTGGGAAGTGGGTAGGGAACATCAAAGTAGTCCTTGTAGAAAGGTAGTGTCTTGGTGGCAACCTGTGAGAAAAGAAGGGAATACAACACCGTATGGCAAATCCACCTGTTTGCAAGTCTATCTCCAACATTACACAGGTGTTTAATCAGTGCCATTTAACTATGACTTATGGTTCCAAGACATGGTCATTCATAAAGAAGATGGAACAAAAATAAAAAGTATTAAAAATAAACACCGAGATACTTGGATTTACACGAAGAGACAAAGTAAAACACATGGATAAGAAAACGTACATCAATCTGACTGTTGAGAATGTAAGTGAACTTCTCAGGACACATCGCTAGAAGAGATGATGGCCAGTGATCGACAATAACAATGGAGTGGCAGCCAACGGAGGGGAGGCACCCAAGAGTACATCTGCACCAGAGATGTGCCGATGAAATCAGCTCGTGTGCAGGTGCTAGGTGGATTCAACAAATCCAAAAAACAACTCAAAACAACTCTGCTCGTATCATATTCAACCTTCCCTACAATTCCCATACCTCGACCCTCCTCGCGCAAATGCACTGGCTCTGTGTGCTAGTTGTCTGTTCAAATTCCTCACCCTGGTCGACAAATCCCTTCATGGTCTTGGCCCACAGTATATTGCCAAACTTGTATCTATGTGCCTTCTCGCCCTCTACGTTCTGAATCTTTGTTGTCCCTCTCTGTCCTCTTTCTCCTTGTACTCAATCCATGCTTTTGCTCTTTTTCACTTCTTGCCACCCTTCACTGGAAAAAACTTCCCCTCCACATTAAACAGTCACCTTCCCTCACTATTTTCCAGTTCTCCCTCAAACTCACTTATTTTTCCGAGCTCACTTCACGACTCCTTAATCTCCCCTCAACCACCACCGTTACTGTTCACCTCTTCATATTCTCATTATGAGGCTATCACTCGTTCCCCATTCATTCAATCCATTCATCATCATATACCGTCTTCAATTTCGCTTTTACCAAATTCACGCATCACAGGTTTGCCACCATTGCGTCATCTATTTCATTCCGCTCACCACCACCATTACATTCATATGTACCATTCTTGATTCTCTGTAACGCGCCTTGTTTAAGGTGCTATATAAATTAAGATAAGGTTATCGCATTGTAGGATCATAACAGGTTAGATAAGCCTTCATCCAGCAGTGGACTCATAATATCTGACAATTGTAATGATGATTTAAAGCTGTCATGACTGCAGGGATTCATATTATTGGTTCTTTCGGTAAAGTCACGTAGAAGGGAAATTATAAAATAAAAAATATATAAACCAATAAAAAATTTTTTTTTCTACGTGACTTTACCGAAAGAACCAAGAATATAATTGTAATGATGATGAACGCAGCAGTCCTCACTTTTGATTTACAGTTCCCAATGTACACACCTGCAGTGCGAAGCGGCCGTGCTCGGCCTTGCCCAGGGGTGCGTAGACGCGCACCAGCACTCCATCGGACGACTGCGCCTCGACAAAGTCAAACTCGCCCACCACGAATGCCACCAGGTAGGTGGACATAATGGGCGAGCGGGCAAACGTCACACGCACCAGGCCCTCGCCGGAGCTGCCCTGTTCATCATCTTGAGGCACGCGCTTGATCTCTTGCTGTGAACGGCAGAGAGAGAAGCAAGGCAGCACATGTGTTTGTATGACCCACGACCTAAGCGGCTTTCGTCAATCAACATGATCCCTGCAATTGAACTGGTTACTTCCTACTGCACTGGATCCCTGTGCTGTAGAGCTCTCAAATGCGTTTTCGGGTTGTACCGTGTTGTTTGGCATGATTGTTGTTTGACATTTCCCTCCACGTGCTGGGAGCTTTTAAGATTCTATTCCAGAAAAAGCTCCCAACACATGGAGCCAAACGTGAGACATCATGCCAAACAATGCGACGTGCAACCTGAAAACACAATGCCGAACTGGTTAACTCCTGCCATCAATACGGAAAAATACACACTGGTCTAAGTTTGTCTTTAGAGTGTTTACAAAGCTCTTCATCTAGAGCCCTTCGTCAATCCACTACTGGAAGGAGTGCAGGTTATTGAAGGCGAGAAACAGATGCATAATAGCAGCACAACAAAGTGTTTTGCTGGACTGCCCTCTGCTCCCCTCATCTAGTCGAACACTATCCAGGTTCACACATGCTTAGCTTCCAAGATCTGATGAGATCAGGCACATTCCGGGAGATTTGGCCACAGGCATTGGAATTACAAAAAAATCCAGATTTCTTTACGAGTCATACTTGAATTTAAAACAAACCTTAGTTCATATTTTATTTAGATTTGAAAGTGGAATTGTTTACATTGATACACTGTCTGAATGCACTGTTTTTTTTAAATAAAGGTCTATCTAATAAGCCAGTGCCATTGAGCCACTGTAAGATATGTCATGTGTAGATATCGTGTTAGGCTACTTGCTGGCAAGTTGCACGAGGCTTAATGCACGTTGATTGACATTCACTGCAGTAATAAGCAAAGTTAAAAGACCAGTGCATTTGTTCTTAAACAGGCCGCATTCATTTAATTATAATAAAACATGTTGAAAATGTACTGAGGAATTTTAAAATAAGCATAATGTATACGTCATCATTACTTCACAGAACTTGGTCAATCCACTGCAGGATTAAGCCTCGCCATGCCGTGTTGGTCATGAGGTTTTTGTTTTTTACCATGCTTGACCATGCTAATCTGTGTGAATTGGTGAAAGGGGAACCAGGACCGTTTCAGATATCACTTGCCACAGATGTTAGCCTTGGCCAGGAATCTAACTTAAGTGGCCAAGTTCATAGCGACCCTACCATCATACTGCACTCAAATATGAAACACACAGCATTCGACCATTTACATCATTCCATTTCCTAATCCACGCTCACTTTGAAAATTCCTGGTGAAAGAACCATGTTTTGAGGCCTGACATAAAACCATTTATTTTATGCTATGTCATATTATAATATTTTTTTTTACATGAAATGGTTCATGGAAAAAATATGCTTGCCACAATGTCAGGCCAGTGGGGTAAGGGAAAGCAAAGCTTGCTAACAACAGCCTACATGAAATGGGGTGTGTGGCATTGCAGCTGTTTTCACTAATCAGCGAGCCGTGATTCCATTGGCTGCTAGCAACTTGCTTAGGACTCGCCACCATCCTCCCTGACCCAAGCTGCACTCTCGCCCCCTGCTCACTAGGCCCCTTTGGGCACCTTGCCTTAGTTAACACTGGCCATGGCCATTGCAATTTTACATCTGCTCTCTCAAGTCGACCGCAGGGGGTGAGGATGTTGAAAAAAGGCGAGCAATGCATCCCAGATGGCCATGTATATATAGCAGTAAAGCGTGTCATCGCAGCGAAAATAAATGCTGTCGTGAAGGGCGTCGCTGTAAGCAGTGCCCATGCAGAAAGATGGATGGACGGACAAGATGGATGGTTGAGTGATTACCCTCTCCTACCATATTGGACAATGCTACGCGGTCACGGGGCACGATGAGGGACAGGTCAAAGGTCGCCTTGATAGCTGGCTCATCCCAGCAGGGAAATGCTCTCCGTGCATCCGTTGGCTGCACAACACACATACACACACGGACCAGGTCAGAAAACTAAAACAGCAGCAGCTTATCTACATAGAGATGAAAACAGATTATAATAATAATTTATTACTTATACCGTGCCTCCTGTGCACTACAAATCGAAGTGCTAATACGGCATAAGAACCATTCTCGGTGCAATTAAGTGTCCACTGTTGTTAGCTTTGGCTGGGTATGATCACTTGGTTCATAGTGCATTGTTGAACCACTGTTTAACAAATATAATTTGAGCTTGCAACCTTACTTAAAAACTCAAAGAGTTGTTATGGCTTTCCGTGCCACCTTTGATAGTCTACTCACCTCCAAGACAACATGACTGAATATTTAGCATTTGCAGACAGTAAGAATATGAATATGTATCCAGTGTTGGAATAAAAAATATAATAAATGCAGGAATTCAAGTGTCTAAATATATCTGTAGATATGCTATGTTGCAATACCATCACCCTGCTATATACAGTGTGGCCTCAAAATACCAGGCCAATTCAAGGGTGCAGTGCCACAGTACATACATTTTCTTAACAAAACCCCAATATTTCCATGAAGATAAAATCTTAGCCCATCGACATAAAGCTTGCAATGCTGTATTGAACATTTTAACATGTCAAGCTGAAAATAAAAAAATAGTGCTGAAACCACCGAAAATCACCAGCCAATTGTGGAACGTATATTTTCCAATGCTGCAGTAGTTACCGCACAGTAAGGTCCATTGGGACTGCACGTTGCATGAATTTTCAACATAGCATGCAAAGCTAATGACAAATCAGCATTTCATTGCAGACTGCAATATCTAAGCTTCGGAAGTGCGACTGTCTATTTTTAAACATTTTCGTTTATATTTCTAGCGGTCCCCCAAAAACCCCATCAAATGCAGGACATGGTATATCCACCAACGTTGTTTCGAGGAGACGCTGTAGCTCCTTGTTAGACTGCTGGGAGCTCACCTCAAACTGGGTGACGGCAGCAAAGCGTATTTCTCCTGAGCGGGCCACATATTTGCTCCGGTAAAAGCCTCTGAGTTTGTCGTTCAACTCCCCAACAAACTCCAGCTTCAGCTTCCCGGGTCCTGCTCGTGGAGACGGTCCAAAGGGTATACAACAAAATGTGTGACAGCAGCAGAAAAACTATGCACAGAGAGAATTAGGCACATAACGATTCATCGATTAAAAACGATTCTTTGCATTCGATTTGTAGCGCTAGAGGCGCTCTATACACCTCGGTTTTAAAATTGTAACTTGTTTTGTGATACTGCCTTGGGCAGTGGTGCGTAACTACAAATAACAAAATCTCTCTGTGAGGATAAAGACCTGTTGTGCAACACACATTGCATATGATATATATACTATTTTACTTTAATGCAGTGTCATTGACACATTTGTTGGGCCGATATTCAAAATAAATCTATTATTCATCAAATAAATGCATATGCATGTCTTGCAAAAATGTTTGACATTTTCATGTGCCATGAGCTGTTAGAACATTTCCAAGCATGGAATTTTGTAGAAGGCATTGCTAAGCATGGCATTATGTGAAAGGGACTTTACATATGCCAACTCAGCATTAACAAATTTACCGAGGCATGCTTTTGTCAAGCATGCCAAGATAGCCAAAACTGTGTCATCACCAACCTAAAAAAATATTTAACAAATTAATACCATGTAAAAGCATGCATGTAACTATTCTCTCCTCTCTGGAATTTGATGACTTATTAAGATTCACGAATTGTCAAGATTTGGGGTGAAAATTCTATTGAAGAATCCATTTTTGTATTTACATAGCGCCTAAATACAACTCCATCGAAAGGTACCGTACAGAAACACTGTGACATGCACTGATGTGGTTTAATGAAGCTAACCTGTACTGCTCACCGAATGTTGGGTGATGAAGGCATGCGTTACAATGAGTATTGACACGTTTTATTTTTACCTGGCTCCAGGGCAGAGGGAAAGGACAAAGTCACTCGCTCATCTTGATTCTCATAGTTAAACCCAGACGCGTTGATTTCTGTGCAAATGACAACAACAAAAAAGGCACAGCCAAGAATGGCGATGATGGGTGTTTTTTTAAACGAGGAAATGAATCAAGTGTCAACAGCCATTGCAAAGAAGGAGGCGCGTTCGCTTGAAAGTGCACAGGAAAAAAACTGGTTTATTTACAGTGCTGCACTGTACACTGCACTGCATGCCAGAAATGTGGTTATTTTGTCCCACTAGGAATCAGTGCTCAGGGCTCGGAGCAAATTGCCTACTCAGAACAGGAGATGAGAACAACACATTATTATAATTGAACAAAATACCTCTTCTTAAAGCCTGGATGGGGAGGCTATGAGATGCATTGATTTTATTTAAGCTACAAAACATGCAGGCAAGGGAAGGAACATGGCTCAAGATTTAATAACAATTGTGGCTAACCATTGTTGCACTGGATGATTCCATAACAAGTTGCAGAAAACAAATTATATTAGCTTGGCAGCGGGGAAGAGCCAATAAACAAACACACCATCCAAAACCACATCAATTGGCAGTAAATCAAACAATAAGGCACTGTCCAATGGGGACAAGGTTTTTCACTAAAACATTAATGTCTTTGACCAGCAATTTGTTCAGCAACCAAAGTATGACAAGGTGCTACTGCACAAACAATTTAAATAAGAAAAATACCAAAATATACAGAATATCATTGGTTACCAGACCTTTGCAAAGTCAGGGCTGGAAATGGGAAGCCTGTACACAAAACAAAACACACAAACACAGCAATTGCCAATACGTATTCAATCATTTATAATGCTGTGATCTGAATCACTAAAGATCTCTGGGCCAGGCAGGGATTTGGCCCAGTGCTAAACCGAGTCAGACTTTCGTATTAGCCGAAACCCACCACCCCTGTGTTGCTCAACGGTTTCCTTTAAATGGGGCACATTATGTTCAAAGCCTCGCGCACATGCATGCTGAACATGCTTTGCAGCAATTTGCTCAATGCAAATATTCGTGGCTAAGCGATTGTCGTAAATGAGGTGCATTAGCAATCCATTTGTTTTGTAAAGAGCTTGGACATAACGGAAACAGATTTCCAAAAAAAGACGTATCTTGCAATCGATTATTCACATTTTCCTGTGCTTGAATTGTTGTGCACTGTGACGTCACTCCACATGAGGGCCACCCCCCCCGCGTGACGTCACTCCACACGAGGGTCACCCCCCTAATTAATATTCATGAGTGGGTGGATTTTTACACTAACGCAGAGGAAGGTCGAGCTCAATTAAATAATTTATTACGCAAAGTCGCTTCAAATATGACGTTTCTTTACAGAAAGTGACGGTTAAAAATAAATATACGCAGCACAATGCTCCATCCGTGCGTGACGTCACTGCAAAAGAGGCCCCCCCTCCTTCATTAATATTCATACCCACGTGGAAATTTACACGAACGCACTCCACATGCCGCACCCCTCCCCAATAACCATTAGCGGGTGACATCACTCCACATGGGGCACCCCCCCCCCCGCCTCATTAATAATCATGAGCTGAACAATTTTTCTATTGAATATTTCAGATTTTCTGCAAAATACACCAATCCTTGGACGGGCAAACAAGTTAGTTAAAAATATTCACAAAAACTTCCTTTATTTTACTAAAAGACATAACACACAATCTAGAGTAATCAATTTACAAAAAAAAATCTGTTCATGGGCTAACTGAACATGAATAATAATAAGCAATATTTAATCTGTTATCTACTCTGTCCAGTATATGCTTACACATGCTGCATGTGAGATGCAATTAATAAATTTAAGCGTGCTCTACTTAATGGGGCACTTTGGCACGCAATGTCTACTTTGCAATCAGTCTGGCATAATCTAGTGTTTGAACCTATTGCGTATACTCTGGAAATAAATATCGCACTGTATAATGAAAACACATCAGCAATTGCGGCACTGGACATTACTCAACTTGTGGAGTCACGACCAACGATTTTCATTCGACTTTGCGATTCTGATGATCGGCAATATAACTGGTCATAACACTTTTTTAAGAAAAATAATTTACGGAAGAAAAAAAATTCCCCACTGAAATATTTTGGTAGGTAAAGCTGCTGCCTTGCAACTGCTTGCTCAAGCCACTGCTGGACAGTCCTCCACGAAAGAGAGCTCTAAAGAGCCCCTTGAGAGGGTATTTGGCCTACTCTTTCACGTTGGCCAGACTTCATCGAAAGAGTGCAATTCTGGCGGGGGAGTTATTCTAAGTTCTCTACAGTTCCTCTGAGGAATCATATTTGAGTAGTAGCGCAAGTTTTTTTTGCAAGTTGAAAAGAATCCTCTATACTTTAATATGCCTTATTCTCACAGGACTGAGGTTCACGTTTTCAAATATTTGTGAAGGATAGAATGGCACTGGTCACCAGCCACCTGTGTGTTGTTCTAAACAAGTTCTCAAATGGTAGCGTTAAGACCAGAGGTGGGACAAAGTCATTGTTATGCAAGTCCAAGTCGAGTCTGAAGTCATCAAATTCATGACTCGAGTCTGACTCGAGTCCAAGTCACATGACTCGAGTCCACACCTCAGAGGTGGGACAAAGTCATTGTTATGCAAGTCCAAGTCGAGTCTGAAGTCATCAAATTCATGACTCGAGTCTGACTCGAGTCCAAGTCACATGACTCGAGTCCACACCTCTGGTTAAGACAATTAATTGTTTCATTATGAGCTATGCATATGATGTATCCATTGTCTCTCGTAACACCCACAATTGCCAAGTGCTAAAGACCCACCCCAATAAAACAAATAATATACGTGAAATACAATTTACATTACAATTTGGATTTAGGTAATGTCTGAAAGCACCGATATCTGAAAATACACGTATAGATAGATGTAAGTATATGTGTAGAACTTCTTTCACACCATATGTAGCCAAGCGTGCTAATTCAGGCTCAACTCTACAGTGGGTTTACGGCTCATGTATCGATCCATTGCTGGATAAGGGCTCCTCCTGCCGTGCAGGCAGCAGTGAGCATTATGTCATTATAATTGGTCACACTGATTATATTGAGGGTTGGTGAAGGTAGGGTGGTGAAGGTAGGGTGGTGAAGGTAGGGTGGTGAAGGTAGGGTGGTGGGCGGGGTGTACAGAACAATGGCTTTTTGTGCACTGCCATCTGTCGTCCACAATGCCTACTAAACCTGTTTTATTCATGGTCACCCATCCAAGCGCGATCCAGGCTCAACTCTACTAATCTTCCGAGCTCTGATGGGATCAGTCGCATTCCGGTTGACTTGGTTATAGGTACAGTTACAGTACTTGTTATGCATGAGTTTTAGATTGAAAAATGTTGGAATTTTAAGGAAAATTTCCAATGTTTGGGATTTTCAGATATGTAATATATTTCACAACTTTAGCCGCATGTGAAATCACCCGATGCCACATGACACTACCTTTTGTGTGAAAACAGCAGAAGTGAAATGTGACTGATCATTCCAATACATGACACAACTTTGCAGTGTCTGTTATATAAAAGGTGTGCACAAATGAAGGGCAAAGTGCTAGAGTTGGGAGCCACATCTACAGAGCTCAGGCTTTGCAAAAAAAAGGCATAGCAGTGATGTGATGAGGGCAGTATTCTCCACTGGACAGTGTGTACCTATACTTATCCTCAAGAGGCCTTTGCATGATTGCACTTTCGATTAAAGTCAAATAGATTTTTTAAAATGTTAGCCTCAAGTTAGCAATTGCAGGAATGTACTCAGACAGGCAGCAGAGCCCACGATACACTTGAAACAAGTTGCATGAGAAATAAATATCTGGAAAGTATTATGTTTGTTTGTAAAGGGAGTGAAAAGTGAATCTACAGGCTTACTTCCAAATTTGGCATGAGAAAGAGACTGTATAAAAGCAGAAAACTGTTGGAACATTTTCAGCAGCTTGGCATTCAGTAAAAGAAAAACAATAATTGGAGTTACACGTAACACAATTTAACAATTATAAAATGGCTACACTTGAGGCTAAAGTATGTCTCTGGTATTTATCCAACGTTTGTGAACAGGAATAGATAGTTAAGGCACATAAAAAGCAGTGCTTTATCAGATGTGGTAATGGAAAAATGTATATTCTTTGTGTTTTCTTATGATGTCTAATATCCAGAAAAGCCTAATCGAGTACTATGCATTTTTCAGTAGGGAGTTGCCAAGTTTTCACAGGAAGGGGCATTGGCTGCTAAGCATAATTCCAATTAATTTGCTGGTGATTTTCAAAATTTGGGCCATGATCCCAGCACACAGTGGCCTAAGCTTACGATGAAGCAGGAGGCCCTTACATTTACAGTTTATAACACCTGCAATATTAATCAAAAAAACACCACTATCTTGAACCCGGTGAACCTTTGCAACAACTGGTGAACGAGATAATGCTAGGCTGTGTCAGATGTGTGACAAGTAGAGCATTAGCAGGTGGTAATATTGCTTAGTAATTTAATACATGTTTCAATCTCCCAGGAGAGTCAACATGACCGAACATTTTATTTCATTACTATAGACTAGCCTTTTGCCCATCCAAGGACGGGTATATTGCAGTGAATCTGAAACTTGCAAACACAAATCAGACCTCGACGTGATATTCATTGCATCAATTCGTGTGTGCAGTTTGTAAGGGCGCGGTGACACAGACTTATTTCATTTGAAGGTTATAATCCCTTGTTCATCATGACGTCCTATTTACTTCTATGTCTCAAGTGCAATACGGAGATCGCGTGACGTGAGGGTTCTGCCTTTGTAGTGAGGGTTCTAAGTTGACGCCGAGGAGGGGGGAGGAGGCGCCTCCCCCCCACCCCCATTTCGAGTGACGTCACCCGCTCATGATTATTAATGTTGGGGGGGTCCAATTGGAGGACGTCACCTGTGCATGATTATTAATGAGGGGGGCTGTTCGATGTGGCGTGCTGTCACCCGACATGATTATTAATGACGGGGGGGGGGGGGGTCCATGTCCATGTGGAGGACCCCACCTGTTCATAATTATTAATGAGGGGGGCTGTTCGATGTGCAGTGATGTCACCTGCTCATGATTATTGAGGGCCGGGTCCATGTGGAGCACGTAACCTGTTCATGATTATTCTTTGGGTTTGTCGGTAAAGTCACGTTGATAGGTTCAAAGAAATAACAAAAATAACAAAAAACTACGTTTCGATCACAACACAAGCAGTCGTCATCAGGAAAAAGGGGTTTAGCTTCTGAAGACAACTGTTTATAAAGGATTGAAATGGGCGTAGCCCAAATGTCAGCAGCCAATGTTAATGTGAGTGGTGGTCAGCGACTGCGGCGGTGGTGGGTTTTCCACCACTAACATATGTTAACATAGCCACCTTGGCGTGCGCTCGCCGTGGAAGATGCTTGGCGATCTTACATTGTCATGCTAATTTTTACCTGGCAGCTCTTTGATTGGTAGAATATCCACCACCGCCGCAGTCGCTGACCACCACTTACATTAACATTGGCTGCTGACATTTGGGCTACACCTATTTAAAACCTTTATAAACAGTTGTCTTTAAAAGGTAACCCCCCTTTAACTGATGACGACCGCTTGTGTTGCGATTGAAACGTCGTAGTTTTTTGTTAATTTTGTTATTTCTTTGAACCTAACTAGGTGACTTTGCCGAAAAACCCAAAGAATACGAATTCATGCAGTCACGAAAGCTTTAAGTCACTGTTCATGATTATTAATGAGGGGGGAGGCTGGTCGACGTGGAGTGACGTCACGCGCGTTACACACTGACATTCTTGGGTAAATATAGTAGTCAATAAGGGGAGATGAAGAGGGTAGGTCATAATGCAGCGGTTAATAAACCATGGCGCTATGAACCCTATGCACTGAGCGACCAGAGTTTGATTCCCGGTGTGTCTACAAATATCAGCTCAGAGATATTTGTTGCCCCAAGAACACATGTAATATGTGGCGAATATTTGTATCCTGAGGGTAATGGATAATAGTTATCATCAGCGAGCTATGTGTCATATTCATTGTGGTCCATTATAAAAATGCATGCAAGTGGAGCGCATGTTTCACAAATAACTTAGAAAAGTGGTCTAAAATGTTGGTTTTAGTTTAAAATGCAAGGACATAGAGTTACATGCAAATAAAGATTGTTATATAAACTGGGCTTTACATACTCAGAAGGGGAACCAATATTTTCTGGGGGAACAAATATTCAGAGGGGAAACATTATCTGACACCGACCATGACTAACATCAGTGGCGAGTGATATTTAAGCCAACCTTGGGCCCCCACTTCACCAACACACACTAACCAGCATTGAAGTATGGTCAGACCACCCCAACGACCGACACGGTGTGGCGAGACTTTCATGAGTGAATTAACAAAGGGCCATGCATGTATTAAGTACAATTATATAAAATGCAGATAAGCATTATCTGGTGAGATCAAATACGCAGTTTTAATCTTATCAAAGATTAATATAGCATGAGCAAAGCAGAACAATAGATTTTGAGTTTAACGCATAATCTCAGTTGGCAGAAGTGGAAACATTTTTAAACCAGCAATAATTTTAGGAAGCAATTTTTTCATAATAACATGGAACACATGACTGCACTGAGTGATTTATTGCAATTGCCAACATGAAGGAAAAACAGGAAGCCCAACGTTCAGTATATTACTACCATTAAAGTCCAATAAATTTAGCAAGAGCAATACGGAAAATTACTGAACACATTACAGCATTAAGTGCACCTAACAAACGACAGAGCAGCTGGAATACGAATTTAGGAAGATTTGTTTTTTCAAACCCGAGCATAAACACAGTGCCCCACAGTTCAGCTGTCTGTTAGTGTATGGCTTTAGGGAAGTGTTTAGAAATGTAATGCTTAAGTTTTCGTGGCTGTTTTCAGGTTGCACTACGTATTGTTCAACGCAATGTTGGACATTTTAGTTCTGAGTACACTATTCAGTATTTCTTCTAGAGCAAGCACTTGATGCCCGAGAAAAATAATGTCCCAAAAACACAGCTGAGAGCTACGTTTAAAAAATGTCTGGTTTTCAATTGACATTTTAATACGTGTAAGTGCTATTCATTGCCAACTATTTTTGGGGGGGAAATCAACAGGAGAGATTTGAATCATAATAATCATTTGAAGTAAATTAGTCACAGCATCCGATGGCAATAGCAGCCATTACATATAAAACAAATGGAAAAAGGTAAATTTCTCAATAACACATTCGGTCGCATTTAATAGTCGTGTCCCTCCAGGTAATTTTTTTTTGTTTTAGCAAACAATCACTGCATAATATCTGCGGCGCACAGAAACGTGCACACCCACAATGAAAATGGAACAGAAGCTGAAAAGTGTGATATGAAGCATGCCCAGAGAAGCATGCTGGGGAATTATACTGAGCAAGAGAAAGAGGGTCACATGGGTCAGAGACTAAACAAAAGTCTGAGCCATTATCTGCATAACATTTGCCAAAAGGCTTCAATGCCGATGGACAAGACTGGTAATGGAGTAGCAGCCAGTGGAGGGATTGCACCCATTGCGAAAACCACCACGGAGCATGGAGTCATGAGAATAACTCATGTGGCAGGACAAAAAATGGATAGTGGCATCGCAGGATCATGGATAGTGTACATTTTGGCAGCCCTTTATCTAGCAGTGGATAAAACGCAGCTGATGAAAGTTTATACACGTATACAAATAATACATTTTGATTCGAAAAAGCAATTTATCACGCTTACTGGAATCCCAGTGAATGAAGTATGTGACTCTGGCTTTTAACCTATGGTGATGTGATGCAAGTGCCTCGGGTCTTTGCTCATTCGGATACTTGGTTTCGCATTGCCAAGTAAAACAGGCATTACACGTGCAAACACAAACACACACATACAGCCTACACACCCCCTCAACATCCACAGTGCTGTCACTCTTAAATAAAAAAAAGTGAAATTTTGCAAATACCTTTTCCACCTTGATGGCAGAAGCTTGCACTGATAATGTCAATATCAGCACAGTTCATGACAATCTGTCCAGTCGACTGCTTCACCTTCGGAATGCGGGGGTGGGGTGCAGTAATGAGGGTGGATGGGGAGAGAAAAACAAGAGCGTTTATACTGGTAAGAACCTCCTGGTTACACCAGCCCACAGGGGATTATTGTGTCCGTCCGTCCTGCATCCAAAAAATGGGAGGGGTGGGGCTGGGTGGAGAGGGGAGGGTGGGGAGGGGCTGGGTGGGGGCTGGGTGGGGCTGGGTGGGGTGGGGCTGGGTGGGGAGGGTGGGGAGTGTGGGGCTGGGTGGGGGGTGGGAGGGGTGGGGCTGGGTGGGGGGTGGGAGGGGAGGGGCTGGGAGGGATGGGGCTGGGTGGGGAGGGGCTGGGTGGGAGGGATAGGGCTGGGTGGGGAGGGGCTGGTCACCCCGTGGTGCCCTTATACAACTCAACGTTTAACCTACTCACACCGGCTTGTGCCCGCCCTCACAGTGGGCCATATTTGCGGAATACACCACGCCGCCGTTGACCCTGCAGGCCATTGACCCAGCAACCCAACGTTCCTACCAGCTCCCTCCGCAAGGAATGTGTTAGGGCGCCTTGCAAAATGTCTGGCTTTTTTATATTCCAAACAGTGGCATAAGCTATCCCTTGTTGCAGATAGTCTGTGTGTTTCGAGTGCTTTGGGAACCGCAGCTCGACAGGGGCTCACCAAAGCATTGGTGTCCACGATAATGGGGGGTGTAAGAAGTTGAAATGGGGATCCCCCCCATTGACTTCCTTGTATTATAGGGCCCATAACCAACCATGCTATTATATGTCACTGTGTGAACCCATGTACAGTGTTATAACGTAGTTTACATTATGATTGTCCTTAAAATCGTAAAGTTTGCAGTTTAAAAAAAAATGTTCACGGTGCAGTTCCAAGTGGAGATAGAAAAAAATACTTTAACACAATAGTACAGTAGGCAAATAGTATTGAATGTGGGGGAATTGTGGTTGTGTGTGTGCAGTGATGGATAACACGTAGTCTGTTAATTCTCTTATCACCATGGATTTGGATAAAGTTGTACCATGAACACTCATTGTACACTTTAGGTTTAAACAAATATGCTTATCTCATGAATCTATATGGATAGCATCGGCTTTACTGTATTGTGATGGTGAACGCTTTCAATTCCTGTTATTTGAAAGGGAGAAAAACGTTCAAATACTTAAAATGAAAAACATGACCACAACTTTGCGATAGAGTTTGTACAACTTTAAAATGTTCCGACAAGGCAAGCAGACTTGCTAAGACACTTTAATGTTCATAAAGGTTCGAGTTATTAGAAACTTGACTCTAATCATTCCATTCAGCGATACAGAGGCAAACTTGTTAAGTGTTTACTTATTGTAGTAGTTGTATTCACATGCAAACGCCAATTAACTAAGTCTCTATTTAAATTCCAACAAAAATATTGACTATTATCAATAACCAACGAACTACTCACACGTCAAATCTATAGTTAAATATATAGCAACACACTATTAAAACCATGTACAGTACTATTTTGAACTCAGAAATTAATGAAATAAAAAACAAGGAAGTATAACATTCAACACTTGTTACATCCGTTTTAAAAGGTTTCACTAATGACTCGTTAGACAACTAAGCAACCATGAAGTTAGAAACCACGAACATTATAAAATCTGGTGTTTACTAACAGATTAAATACGTGTTATAACATTGTAAGTCATGTATCCACGTTGGGACATGCTTTGGGTGTCTATTTCTTTAAAAAAAACAGAGATGCCAAGCAAAATGAGAAATGTAACTTTGTTAAACTGGGTCCATTCCCATACAAGTTTGTGAGATTGTGTATTATTATTATGTATTACATTGTAAGTGGCGTAATTGTAAGTAATGCATTGTGCTTGAGACGGCAAATATGAAACCACTTAGAATAAGACGCCTTATACACAGTATGATTTGGAGTGTGTTTAAGTTGTGATTATGCAGTATGATTTGGAGTGTGTTTAAGTTGTGATTATGCAGTATGATTTGGAGTGTGTTTAAGTTGTGATTATGCAGTATGATTTGGAGTGTGTTTAAGTTGTGATTATGCAGTATGATTTGGAGTGTGTTTAAGTTGTGATTATGCAGTATGATTTGGAGTGTGTTTAAGTTGTGATTATGCAGTATGATTTGGAGTGTGTTTAAGTTGTGATTATGCAGTATGATTTGGAGTGTGTTTAAGTTGTGATTATGCAGTATGATTTGGAGTGTGTTTAAGTTGTGATTATGCAGTATGATTTGGAAAACTCCAAATCATGATTTGGAAAACTCAAAATCATACTGCATAATCACAACTTAAACACACAGGAAGATATAAACACGCACATACTGTGAATACAACGCAGACAATACATTTAATGCATTGCTAATGTATGCCACATGAAGTATTGTTGTGAATAATTCAACACACACTAATACAACAGCAAGTGAATAATAATAATACAACACACAAGTTTAATAGTAATACACTCGATAGCTGGAGTACAACACGATGGTTATAATGCAACACGCGTTAACAATACCACAACACATTAACAATAACGTTAACAATAACACGTTAACAATACCACAACACAAGTTAACAATAACACAACACGTTAACAATAACACAACACGCGTTAACAATACCACAACACACATTAACAATATTACAACGCGTTTACACGTTAGAGCGTTGAGCGCCTCGAAAGCCACCAAACATTTATACATATTTATAAAACTGCAATAGTTGTGTGTATAGTACAGTTGTATATATATATAGTACAGTTGTGTATATACACACACACACAGTGGACACTGTACACAGAAATAAAAGATTAAAAGATCGGCGTGGCGATGGTCAGTGACGAGGCTGCTGCTGGTTGTTGTTGTGGTTATTGTTGTTGTTGGTGCTGTTGTGGTTGGTGTTGTTGTGGTTGTTGTGGTTGTTGTTGTGGTGGTTGGTGTTGGTGTGGTTGTTGTTGGTGTTGTTGTGGTTGTTGTTATTGTGGTTGTTGTTGTTGTGGTTGTTGTTGTTGTTGGTGCTGTTGTGGTTGGTGTTGTTGTGGTTGTTGTGGTTGTTGTTGTGTTGGTTGGTGTTGGTGTGGTTGTTGTTGGTGTTGTTGTGGTTGTTGTTGTTGTGGTTGTTGTTGTTGTGGTTGTTGTTGTGGTTGGTGGTGGTGCTCCTCTTTACCTCGACATCGATCGCTTCCTTGCCTTCGAACGTGAACTCGGCCAGGTCGGGCTTGAGGACGAGCTCGTAGTTCTTGGGCACCACGTCCGTCGGCAACCTCTCGAATTGCCTCTTCTCTGGCATTTTGCACCTAAATGATGACTACAAATATTTATATTTTGTGTTGTTTTTTTTAACCGTGTGTGTGTGTGTTGCGTTAATGTACGCCGACTGTTGTTCCGTTGCGTTGCTCCCTTAACCAGTGGGTTCTCCTCCTTTTGTTTGCGAGGTTTTTCTCCGTCCTCTTTAACCCACGCTTCTGCCCCCACACCACCCCGATCTGTTGGCGGAGTCACAGTGTCCGTGTGTTTGTGTTGTGTGCTGTGTGTGTCCGTCCGTGTCGTTCCCGTGTGTGAAAGTGCACCACCAACGCCCCCTCGGAAGTGGACGCAAGCAGCGATCGACAGAGACGAGAGACGAGAGTGATTTGGAGGTGCACTGGCGCCCCCACGTGGTGGGCTGGCCGGTCACTCTTTGGGGAAAGATCGAGGGGAGGGGGGGCCTTTATTATATTCTTAGGTTTTTTTTCGGTAAAGTCACGTAGGTAAAAACATCAAAATTAATGAAAATAAAAGAAAACAAAAAATCACGACGTTTCGTGATTTTTTGTTTTATTTTATTTTCATTAATTTTGATGAAATAAAACAAAAAATCACAACGTTTCGTGATTTTTATTTTTTTTTTCATTAATTTTGATGTTTTTACCTACGTGACTTTACCGAAAAAAACCCTAAGACTATGAATCCTTGCAGTCACGAAAGCTTCAAATCTAGGGCCTTTATTACTTACACAGTGTCAATCTCTTATCAGTGCCGACCCTATTACGGACAAATTCAGACTTTGTTGGTCACCCCCTTGCCCTTTAACATCTCAAAGTTCATCCTATACACTACACTATACACTACACTATACACTACACTATACACTACCACTGCATACCTGTCCATCCATTATCAGTGCCGACCTTATTAGACCAATTAAGACCTTGCTGGTCAGCCCATGCCCTTTAACATCTCAAATTGCATCATATACACCACACTATACACTACACTATACACTACACTATACACTACCACTACGTACCTGTCAATCCCTTATCAGTGCCTACCTTATTACAGACCAATTCAGACCTTGCTGATCACCCCGTGCCCTTTAACATCTCAACGTTCATCCTAAACACACCCCTATACACTACACTATACACTACACTAGACACTACCACTACATACCTGTCAATCCCTTATCAGTGCCGATCTTATTACAGACCAATTCAGACCTTGCTGATCACCCCGTGCCCTTTAACATCTCAACGTTCATCCTAAACACTCCCCTATACACTACACTATACACTACACTATACACTACCACTACGTACCTGTCAATCCCTTATCAGTGCCTACCTTATTACAGACCAATTCAGACCTTGCTGATCACCCCGTGCCCTTTAACATCTCAACGTTCATCCTAAACACTCCCCTATACACTACACTATACACTACACTAGACACTACCACTACGTACCTGTCAATCCCTTATCAGTGCCTACCTTATTACAGACCAATTCAGACCTTGCTGATCACCCCGTGCCCTTTAACATCTCAACGTTCATCCTAAACACTCCCCTATACACTACACTATACACTACCACTACGTACCTGTCAATCCCTTATCAGTGCCTACCTTATTACAGACCAATTCAGACCTTGCTGATCACCCCGTGCCCTTTAACATCTCAACGTTCATCCTAAACACACCCCTATACACTACACTATACACTACACTAGACACTACCACTACATACCTGTCAATCCCTTATCAGTGCCGATCTTATTACAGACCAATTCAGACCTTGCTGATCACCCCGTGCCCTTTAACATCTCAACGTTCATCCTAAACACTCCCCTATACACTACACTATACACTACACTATACACTACCACTACGTACCTGTCAATCCCTTATCAGTGCCTACCTTATTACAGACCAATTCAGACCTTGCTGATCACCCCGTGCCCTTTAACATCTCAACGTTCATCCTAAACACTCCCCTATACACTACACTATACACTACACTAGACACTACCACTACGTACCTGTCAATCCCTTATCAGTGCCTACCTTATTACAGACCAATTCAGACCTTGCTGATCACCCCGTGCCCTTTAACATCTCAACGTTCATCCTAAACACTCCCCTATACACTACACTATACACTACCACTACGTACCTGTCAATCCCTTATCAGTGCCTACCTTATTACAGACCAATTCAGACCTTGCTGATCACCCCGTGCCCTTTAACATCTCAACGTTCATCCTAAACACTCCCCTATACACTACACTATACACTACACTAGACACTACCACTACGTACCTGTCAATCCCTTATCAGTGCCTACCTTATTACAGACCAATTCAGACCTTGCTGGTCACCCCGTGCCCTTTAACATCTCAAAGTTCATCCTATACACCAGAGGTGTGGACTCGAGTCATGTGACTTGGACTCGAGTCAGACTCGAGTCATGAATTTGATGACTTCAGACTCGACTTGGACTTGCATAACAATGACTTTGTCCCACCTCTGAGGTGTGGACTCGAGTCATGTGACTTGGACTCGAGTCAGACTCGAGTCATGAATTTGATGACTTCAGACTCGACTTGGACTTGCATAACAATGACTTTGTCCCACCTCTGCTATACACTACACTATACACTACACTATACACTCCACTATACACTACCACTACGTACCTGTCAATCCATTATCAGTGCCGACCTTATTAGACCAATTAAGACCTTGCTGGTCACCCCTTGCCCTTTAACATCTCAACGTTTATCCTATACACTCCCCTATACACTACACTATACACTACACTATACACTACACTATACACTACCACTACGTACCTGTCAATCCCTTATCAGTGCCGACCTTATTACAGACCAATTCAGACCTTGCTGGTCACCCCTGGCCCTTGCAAATTTCAACGTTCATGCTACAAAGTCCCATCACAAGGAAGAAAGACACCTTTTTTTTGCCTGTACGGCTGTACTGAAACGGCTGTACGCCGTATGAACATACAAACTCAATTTCCCCGGACAAGAATAAACCCGTTTGTGTCGAGAAGTATACGTTAACAGTGTGGGCATATTTTTGTTGCTACATTTGATTTATTTATACTGAAAACACGTACGTTCAAAAGTCGACAAAGTGTTTAATTTAACGTAATTAATGTATCCTCAATATTTCCATAATATGCATATATGTAAATAACGGTGACCTTTTCCCCCAGAATCAATGTATGAAAAATAAGAATAGGGTTTAACCTTTCTGGCAATAAAACAGGTGCTAAGATGTTCAAACAACAAAAAATAAACCTTTTGCAAAGAATCAAGTCTGCATTAACAACACGAACATTCAAACAAACTCTGATATTTGCATTATCTTTGAAACTGATTGGCCTACATCAGACAGCCTTCTTTGACCTGCACTGCAATATTTATGGGCGTTTCTTATCGAAATTTAATACTTAAAAAAACTTTGGGAGTGCCTGGACACATACGACACCCACAATCACTCCGTCCCTGGCTTGACACACATTCACCCCATTTATGTGCTGCACTTGTGTGTGCTACATGGACTCATTATCATCTTGATATATCCACTGTTGGATGGAGGCCTCTTCCAAGTCGTTGCAATATCTCACGGCCACACAATGCAAACATCCATCTAGCTCCTGCACCCGAGCTGATTTTATCACTCCATCCCTGCAGCGGTCATACTCTTCGATGCGGTCTCTTATTTGGCTGTCATTCCATCACCAACGTCGTGCATGGGCCATATGTTCCTTAATCTCTCAGTGTAATTACAAGCGTGCAATGTGACTAATTAGCATGCGTGTATATATTTATATAACAGCCTGCCAGTTAAATGTTCGTTTTAACTAAAGGCCTCCATTTTTTACGTGACAATGAACTGGGAAATTAATCACAACGCCACCACGGAGTTTTAGTTCTACACTTTTAAGTACGGCGCATACACAGTTTAATTTATGACACACTATGATGCAATTTACAGACTATTACTGGGTTTCCAATCCAATTTTTTACGAATAAGTTACCATTGAACTAAACGTTTTCTGCAAAATGTATAGGACAGATAAAACCTACACATCCTTCCAAATAAACATTCTACTTATGGTCTGGATAAAATGAATACGTCCAGGCCTTACCAGGGCAAGCGTTGGGGGGGCCATAAGCTAAACTCATGAACCCCTCCCCAAGTATATAAGTGGCTTCCATCTTCTTGGTTCTTTCGGTAAAGTCACGTAGAAGGGACATAATAAAATAATAAAAATAAAACAAAATAAAATAATATAATAATATAATAAATAATATTAAAAAAAACATTTATTTCCATTCTACGTGACTTTACCGAAAGAACCAAGAAGATGAATCCCTGCAGTCACGAAAGCTTTAAATCGAAAAGTGGCTTCCAGCCAATATGTAATGGGACCCCACATTTTTCTCTCTGGACCTTCCATTGTGTTTTTCCCAAAAAAATGTCGGGACATACATGTAATGAATATAATTCAGCTCAAAATAAGCTACAAGTGATGCATTCCTATCAATTTTCATACAGTTACAATCAAACAATGATAGTTATAAAAAATGCATTACTCACCATCAACCACAGAGTGCCAGTTGTGGGTGGTGAAAGAGACACAATACTAGATTCGAAGCTTTCGTGACTGCAGGAAAGAGTAAGACAATACTGTTTTGGTAACTGGTCAAGTTTTATGAACACACTTTCGATTGAATGAACCGAGTTATTGCTTTTAATTATTGTTGGAAACCCAGTGTACAGTGATATTTGCTTTTTTAAATACTATTAACAAACAACTCCATTATAAGCACATACATAGGTATAGAACACAATAAGTGATTACAATTTGCACATGTTTTGGTCATAACAACATACGTATCAACTGGCATTATCCAAGACTTCATTACATTGTTGAAATTAGTGCTATAAAACATACTTAACATGAATACACCAAAACTAAAACTTAGAGGCATATTTTGAATGCAGACTACCTCGGATCCTCCTGTTCTGTTTTATTTTGTCTTCATTATCTTCTTACACATTATGGTTAACATTTGATGTCATCTTTGGATTCCCTGACTAGATCATTCGTTTATCCATCCCTACCCACTAGCAGGACCACGAGGGATGGCAATGGCATGGAGGTGCCTTCATCCAGCAGTGGTATAGACACAGACTGATGATCAACGTGATTGCCAGAGGAAGCAACACGTGAGCAATTATCTAGATTTGAAGCTTTCGTGACTGCAAGGATTCATACTCTTTGTTTTTTCGGTAAAGTCACGTAGGTTAAAAGAAAACAAATAAATGAAATCACGACGTTTCGGAGGCAACACAAGCTTCCGTCTTCAGGTGAAACCGTCACAGCAAAATTGCTGTATCAAGTAAAGCAATGTTGCTGTGACGGTTTCACCTGAAGACGGAAGCTTGTGTTGCCTCCGAAACGTCGTGATTTAATTTAATTGTTTTCTTTTAACCTACGTGACTTTACCGAAAAAACCAAAGAGTAGCAATTATCTCTTTTTTCTGCCTGAAGAAACAAAATCTCTGATGGTAACTCCGTAGCATTTTACATCACACTTATCAGACTTTTTTTTCTCACAAGGTGGTGTCAAAGCAGGTGGATCTCTGAATGTGACTGTCTTTGATGAATGACCAGATGGAGGGGAAACTCTAGCCATTGGCTCTGATGAAGACACATCATCTGAATGTATTTGAATATTATCTTTTATGCTAACCAGGGAGATGTCCTCTATTTCCTTCTTCCCAAAATGCATGTCCACATGTTGTCGCAGTGAAATCTCCAAACCAGTTTGTTCTGATGGGTCATTTCCAAATGCAGATTGGTTTGCCATCATTGTCTCACTCATTGATGCGCCTGCATTTCCTGTCAGTGAAAGGTCAACTCCAGATGGGTAGACATCAGTGTTGTTCACTAGCTCATGTTTTCCATCAGACCCTACGGGCCATCCCAAGGGCCTCTGCTTTGATATACAGTCCGCTGTTACATCATAACATTCCATTTTGCAGGCATGTGATAGCTTGTTTGTTAATTCTTGATCACTGTCGATTTCCCAGGCACATCTTTCATTCAGATTAGCCTCCTTCAAATGGTCGTGGCTGCAGGGGACTTTGTTTTCTGTATCTCCTGTTTTTAATTTAATGCCCACTTTAGTTTCAGTGTGCTTCCAGTCAGGTGACTCGTTTTTGTTTATTTCTGCTTGTACATTCTCTAAATTCCATGGAAATATTTCAACCATTTCCTCCAAATGTGACTCATGTAAATAAAATGCCGTGTTTGGTAATTTCCCACTTGAACCAGCATTCGTCGCAGTCTCTGCGCTTCTTTTTGATGCAGATGTACAATATTTTTTAAATTCCGTGTCCCGTGTTTGCAACGTGTCCAGTTTTAACATGTTATTTGTCTCTGCATCTTGAAAAGGGTGTTCAGCCCCATCATGTGTATACAATCGAGAAGCCTCCATGGGGCCACTTGCAGGGGTTGTTTCTTCCATCTGTGCAGTAATCTCACCCCCAAATGGCTTCAAATTTCGTCTCCCAGCTGGAGATGACGAGCCACTCTGTGGCTCTGATGCGGGCCAGCTCTTACTTCCTACAGCCTCACCAGGAGAATTAGGTTGACCTTCAGCATTCTTTGGCCTCATGGCTTTGAATAACTTCCCTGCAAACTGGAATCCATCCAAGCTGCTCAACTTTGTGGACCCTATGGATAGGTTCTTCTTCACAGGAGTCTTTTTGTTCATTGCACTTTTAGAAGATGGTAACTCTTGAAATTCCCAGGGACAGATTTCTTCACGGTTGCAAACTGCACGACATGAGTTCTGCTTCAATTCATAAGAGGTCACAGGTTCACAAGCGGTTCTATTTTTAAACGAATATTTGTGCTCTTTTTTCCAGCAGCTTTTGTTCAGCTTTGGCAGGCTAGATGTCTTCCACTGGTTCGAAGTGGTGTCTCTCTGTTGTCCCTCAAAGTAATTTAGTACGATATCTCTACTCCCAAAATCCATGCTCGCCTTTTTATGATCTGTCGATGCCTTTTCCTGGGCACAGTCCATCAAACTAAGAGACTTCTGCTTTATAATTGGCTTAAAATAATGACACAAAGAGGGCTCTTGTGATAAACTGTGACTTGTAGCAGTGCGACAGACAGGAGGACTTCCCTGCAATGCACGCGATGGCACATCCTTGGGTACCGGAATAAACCAACCTGTGTTACAACATTTTTTTTCCGATCTGGAAAACAACTTTTCCCCGTTCAGCTCTGGCAGCTCATGATTTGTGCTGACACATGACCCGAGGAAGGAGAACCTCTTGCAAGGTTCAATCTCTTTTTTTGGAGCTTCCATGACAGGATTCTTAATTGACGTGAGCAAGGGGGCCGTGTGAATGTGAGAAGTCGCCGATGAACATCGCTCGCGAACAGCGCTCTCCCGGGTGAACGAGCGCAGTGTCCCATCAGCGCATCTTGTGAGACGCCGGAAAATTGTGCGGCCTCTTCGAAGGTGGCGGTTCTTGGACGTGCTCAGTACACTCCCATTTGGCAGTGCCCTCGGTGGCTTGAGGTACTCTAGATGGGCCTGAGAATGTCACATTCGTCACAATTCCACGCACGGTGAAATGCTTTCGAATTTATCGCACATGACATATCTGTGTTGTTTGCAGCAGGTTTAACCAAATTCATCACCATTTATTGCACTACTTGCACATTTGCTGAAGCATCATTTTAATTGGGAGCATGGCTTCTTGCATGTAAAATCCGAACTATAATTTGTACGTTGACTCCTTTTGCATATTTCAAGTTACCCACTTCCCATGATATGTATGTGCGGATTTAAGTATTAGAGCTTTAATGGATAATATTGATTCTTAACCGAAGACATTTAAATCAAATATAATGGGTTCAAGTGATCCCTACAACCATTCGTGTGCAGTGGGGTAAACTCATATACCTTCCAAATTGTTCGGCCAGCGTGGAAGAGTAGGCCAATAAATTAGTGGGGAGAGGTATTGACAATGTCACATATCTGAGTCAATGGGAACTGAGCTATAGGCTGATATGTGCACATCGAGAGAAAATGACCGTTACACCATCATACACAAATAGGTTACTGGACAAATCTAAAGTGCAAGCTGCTTTAAGTATTAAACACGCTTTACTGTGCTCTCGAAGTAAACTAATGTACATGAAATTGAGAATACAGTACAGTACATCGCTGTATAGGAAATGGTCTGATTTGCTAACATCTAAAGAAAATTACAATTATACCATGCGCACAAAGCTGCACTGGGTATATGGGCAGTTAATTCCATCGAGGTGGATATGTGACACTGCACTGCCGTGCACAATCGTGCATGACAAATCCAGCACAAGAGCTCACTCTCTGCACGTAGTTGACGTGAGCAGCTTTAGTTTCTACCCTTGCGGTGACTGCAGAAGGTGAGACATCATTATTTCTCTCCAACCGGCATGCCACTGCTGTGTCTGGTAGCAGGAGCTCCACACCAACAAACTGGAGAGGGGGTTGGGGTAGGGAGAATATTAGGACACAGATTTATGCAATCTTTAAAAAAAATCCATTGTTATACCCGGAATAAATAATAAAAATGAGCAGTGTATTGTTAAACTATAATTATGAGTATTTGTATTATAAAGTAATTTATTTTATTGCATGGTTAGCATTAGCGGCAAGTGATATCTGAACCGATCCTGCACCCTCCACCGTCCCCCCATTGATCACATCACCCTGCACTTCCAAACATGGTGAAGTATGGTCAAACAACCCCCATGGCCTTCATCCAGCAGTAAATAAGGCTGTAAAGATATCATTACATTTTATTATAGACTGTCGTAGAAATATAGACTGTGTGTCAAGAGCACACAAAAGCCCAACAGCGCATTGTAGACATGCATTCACTGTCAGTTTGCCTGAAAAGGTAGTTTTGCCTTTATATATAGATATTCTTGTTTTTATTTATATCCGCCACAACGACGAGTATCATTTTGAGTTACGTATCATATCATTTTGCACCGAACTAGGACCCATATCCTAAAGAGAGGGAGGGTCCTTGCCAGTAAGATCTTCAGTTCGCATCATCGATTCAAGCAAGCCGGACTTTGCTGATGAGACACACCACATGTCAATATTGGTCCAGAGTTTGTTCGTCTTTATCAGTACTGATTAAATTATGCACTACCAGAAGGCTGTGCGGCAGATCGGTTGCTTATTAAAAACCTTCATTATGAATGTGGCGAGACGGATATGTGAAGGAGACATTACGCCTTGCGGTAATTTGAGTTTCTGCTCATTTGTCCAACCTTCGGAATCAGCAGGAGCCCCAAGTTGGTCGTGACTGTGAGGTGCTCGTGCATGAAGGCAATTAATAGCATCCAATCTGGGTGGAGGGCGGGAGCCAACAAACGCCTGGAACAAGAGGCAAATGAATCAACATGATCAGCATCACTAAGACTAACAATGACCCACTTGCCTGGCTTCTACTCCCATCCAGCGGTGCACGTGGGAAGGGAGATGAGGCATTTTTTCACACAAAATGTTTTCATATCATCAGATTAGTCGAGTAATATAACGGATAATCGGTAGAGTGATTGATCACTTACATAATCGCATAGCCAAGCTCTCGACTTTGTTCCTCTTGTTGCTTAATGTCACAGACCACATCAGCGAGGATGCCAGTTGAGACGGAAGTGATGTAATCAGTTCATGTGCAGGTGCTAGGTGGATTGTTACATCGCAGAATCGTGATAGGTAGTGACTTGGGGAGCCCTTCATCCAGCAGTGGTCATGGTCAATCCATATTCTTAGGTTTTTTTTTTTTCGGTAAAGTCACGTAGGTAAAACATCAAAATTAATGAAAATAAAATAAAATAAAAATCACGACGTTTCGGAGGCAACACAAGTCTCCGTCATCAGATGGGACCGTCACAGCCGGATTAGCTGTGTTGCCTCCGAAACGTCGTGATTTTTATTTTATTTTCATTAATTTTGATGTTTTACCTACGTGACTTTACCGAAAAAAAAACCTAAGAATATGAATCCTTGCAGTCACGAAAGCTTCAAATCTAGAATCATGGTCAATCCACTGTAGGTACATTTCTATCGTTGCTTTTACAAAACTACCTGCATACCCAGTGCTCGTCTATTGCAGTGTAAACACCTAGAGTCGAGCAGCAGCTCATAATAGACGGCAAACACATTGCATTGATTGGTTGGTTGCACAGGAACAGGCATAACAATCAAAGTGCGGCACTTGAGACTTGTGGTTTGCACTCACCAGAACATATGGAATAGGAACGAGCACGCCGCTTCAATGACAAGGGCAGCTGTGATGTTCCAGGCTTGGCGTGGGGGCGACGTGGTCTTGCGGACGGTGTGGCACACACGCAAGCCCCACACCAGGCAGGCTAGCTCCACTGCAGACACAGCGGGGAGGGCATTTGCGTCATCCTCTTCAGTAGATTAACCGAGGGATCTAAACGATGTAATCTTGTTGTGGTGCGGTCTTGTGGGTTATGTTAAATTTTTTATTTATTTTTGCTGTGCAAGTCGCCATCAATAATTGCATTTGTGTGCCAGGGCAAATGGATTAGAATAGCTAAAAGTTTGCACTGTAATTCATGACATTTTATATAGAGTTGTGGAAATACACGGTGGATGCAAAACATCACGATTCTATGATTACACTGCATCATGATCTAATCGGTGTGCCCATCTGTCAGTCCACCTGCCTAGGCCTATGATCATTGAATGCCCGTACAATTTTAAAATGTTCCTATTACATGCCAATGATTCGCTCTTGGATAATATAACAAACGAAAATAATAACGCGCAAACCATAATCTGGATGAAGGCCTCCCCACCACGCCTCGTCGTTCATGGAGATTGTTTGACCATACTTTGCTCCAGTCAGTGCAGGTTTGGGGGGGCAGGGGTCAGATGGGGATATGACTCAGCACTGACGTCAAACCATTGCTGGGAACCGAACTCAGATCGCTGGGTTCATAGTGCAGTGCGCTAAATACCACGCAAATAATGATACCCTCGTCAACATTAATTTTTAACCTTTTTTTTATTGTAATCCTACAGACACGTAGGTATAAAATAAATCACGACGTTTCGGGCGCAACACAAGCGTCCGTCATCAGGTGGTTGCTTGGCCAGTTCTGATGACAGTTCTGATGACGGACGCTTGTGTTGCGCCCGAAACGTCGTGATTTATTTTATACCCACGTGACTTTACCGAAAGAACCAAAGAGAATGGATTCATGCAGTCACGAAAGCTTTACATCAAGATTCATCACACCTGTAAACAAAGCACTTCAGATGTGAGAGTTGATGGATCACACAAATTTGTGAAACTCGGTTGTGAGATAGCCATAAGATGGCAGTAGGGCAAGTGCATTTTTATCCATCTGTGCAGAGGTTCGCGTGTTATTCTTTCGTAAGCAAGGCTTTTCTGTGGGTACTTCAATTTCCTCCCGTATGCCAAATACTCATTGATAGAACTGGCCAAGCAACCCAATTCAAGGACCACTTCCCAAAACAGAGTCTCTCCGAGGCTTTCCTGGGTAAATCATTGGTGCAATTATTACTCTAAAGATTTACTTTTGTTCATAACAATTTCCCCAAGTTTACTTAATCCCCCGCCTCTCTTCATCACTCGTCAGACTGGTTGTATGCGGTTGTGGTAAATTGCGGGCACTCCTACATCTTCCAAAATGTCTATTCAGCATAAAAAAGTAGGACAAACACCCTCCAGAAGTGCTCTCTCAAACTCCCTTGACATTACTCAATAGTTTTCCATTTACCATACTGTAATGTAAAATCCACCACTACTCACCACCGGATATAATGTGATTGATGAAACCTGGCGGGCATTGAACGTTGCAGATTTGCCTGACCTCAATCGACGGGCTTTCTTTCCGTACTGATGCTGACAGCCAGAACAGTAGACTAAGCGAGGCAAGTGTTGCAAGTTCATAGCAGCCTGGCGCAGGAGTACACCATTTTCCCGTGGAATCTGCTACCACCAGCCTGTGAACACACAATCGACTATCGTCAGGGTTGACAAAGAGCAACACAATCACGTGCCCCATATAACGCATGACATTGCCTTAACAGCGTTGATAGGGGGAATTAATGATGCAGATAACTTTACTTTTATAATAACAGTTTACTATATGCTCAATGTTATTTCAAAGACAATAGCATGCTTTAATCTAATTCATTATGCACAAACGCTTTCTGGATGAACATAATATGTTGCACCGCATGCTGTGAATGAAGCATTATGAATAAAGCATGTTTCACAATTCCGTAACGTGAATCTAATGCCGAAGAGGTTTTTAATCATTCTCGTGCACAAAGTGATGGTAAATTACCTCCCTCGATTTGGTACACTAGATTTTGGAAATAAAACTGGTACTGCTATGTCTTAGAGATGGTGACAATTTCGGAAGGGCTTCAGCCAGCAGTGGATAGACCACGGCTAATTATGATGGTGATGTCCCATCAGTACAGGTATTCAATCCATTTCAATATGCACGACTTTGTTGAGAAGACATAATGAGCATGGAGGGCTAAGTTAAAGTTTTAAGAATCTAGCAGTGCCTGTGATGCTAAACAAGATGCCATTATTTATTGTGAAGTAACATTACTTCAAAACCAGGGCAGGACTCTGTGATATTCCAATGTTAAAATAGTTATCTTTGGTAAACAATAAAATGTGTGACTATTTCATTAAGCAGCATCGAGCATTTTATGTGCTGTGAAAAAGGGCTATTATATGAAGGGTTGCCTATTACATATTTTCTTTTCTTTTAAGGCAGTGTTAACGATACAGGTGTCGATATTTTTCATTGTTTAGTGTGCACCACTCCTAAATATTTTTTTTCATTTCGATATAACATTAGCGAACATGAGTTGTAACGAATAAGCAATGAAGCAAATGCTCTGGACCGACACGCATGTTGCAGACAACTGTATTATGATGCCTAGTAGCTTAGCAGGTACTCATTTGAATTTGGGTCGATCTATACTCTATATGATTCCTAGGACTGATTCAGATACTGATCGGGGCTGTGATGCCACTGCCGGGAGTCGAACCAGGCACTTTTATTCAGAATCAGAATCATCTTTACAGTCGTCTATAACGCCGGTGCTACCCGTTTATGGATGAGTAGACCTAAGTGAGACCCAGGGTTAGGTGTCGTCATCACATTCCCCTCGTTATTTTCCCATGGTCCGGAGTCGAACCCAGATTGACACGAACACATAGGTCTAACAACACAACAATCATGCATATTATTGCAATACAGTACTGTTAATACTTGTCCTTTCACCTCCGATTAGCACGGTTGACTACGTATGGTGCGAAAGAAGTTGAACAACCCACACACGCATCTACATACCTGCACAGGTGCAGCACAGCGGGCCCATACACAGCGAGGAACCCAAAAAAACGCACCCAGTCGATCAATGCCGACCCGCACCAAGCATTTGGCAGCAGGTGCATGTATAGGACCTACGTTTCAGCAGACGTTAACAATGCGTATTGGTTAGGCTGATTACCGTATGTCTTCTTGGGAGATATATCAATTGTGTCTTAAAATATGCTGCTTTTGTGCAGTTATGATAGGATAGAGGGGACAAAGTGTTGATCAAGAGTTATTTAAACACAAGCCGGTTCGAGCCCGTCCTATGGTCTAAGTTGATTCCCCCCATCACTACAATATTTAACAAAACTGCATATAGCATGAGTGACCTGAAGCCTTGTTAGGCTTTGGCCTCCACCGCCCAATCACTTTTTAAAATAAAGTTTTGGTGTTACGCTGACCAATTTGCACCTTTACTCATCGCGATTAGCATTGTGAAACACTTTGGAGATGTTTTTTTTATTTGGGTAAAATTAATAGGTTTTTAAATCCTTTATATTAAGTTCGCTTGCTTGCGTGCTTGCTTGCTTGCTTGCGTGCTTGCTTGCTTGCTTACGACCGTGCAAACCTTTCGGTCGTTTATTAACCCACTTCCCGTGATCCAATCGAGCTGACATTTTGCACACAGACTCGTTGTGCGAGACAATGTTCGTGAAAAAAATATCCAAAATTTTACACTGTTTAGGGAAAACAAATTAAATATTTAATTACCAATTGTTTAATACTGCAGACAATCATCTGACCCATAGGTGGCAGCCATCTCAAGCCAGAGGACGAGAGAACTCTAGCCGCCACGCATATAAAGGATTTAGAGTGAAAAACTTTGTTTTTACGGGTTATACTTATTTTATATATATATCTCATCATGGATACCACATGGCCTTGGTACCTTCTGTCTAAATGGGCCCCTGACTGTGTGATAAAAAATACTCAGGTGCTGTGGCTCACTAACTAATGGACAAATGACATGTATTACACAATTGCGGTGACATTATTTGGGTTGTCCAATATATAATATGTACAACACCTTACTTTCTCTGTTGTATGATTTGTTTTTAGACTTCAATATAAACAAAGCATTTAGACTGAAAAAAAATTACTTCAGGTTTTCTTGGTGTGATGTTATACAATGATATTATTTTACTGTAACAACCTTATTTCAGACAATGTACTTACCGAGAAATAAATAAAAATGGATCCCAGTAGCATTGTTTCCAGATTCATCCAACCAACGGAATTAATTATCTGTAAGTAGTAAAGTAGAGCAGCATTTATACAATCATTCTTTATGTGAATGCGCAAATTGGTTACATCTTATAAGATATAAAGCAGCAAAAGTCAAACTATAGCAATCTCATTTTCCATATATATTTTATGAAGTAAAGCAAACATTTTGAAGGGTTCATAATAAAGGTTTTTGGGTTAGATCATGTTATTTATAAATGTGTCGTAACCCTCCACCACCCGACATGGCCAAACAGTAAAACATTTATCACGTTTACAAAGGACAAAATAATTCACTTCTTTAGCCCACCGGTGTGTTGAAGAGCGAATCAACATTTATAAATAACGCGATCTAACCCAAAACCCTTTATTGTGACTGTTAAATGCAGGCCGATTTACCTCCCAAGAGAGTTTACTGTGGTCATGATAACTGCTGTTTACATCCCACCGGATGCTAATGCTAACTCAGCTATTGGACTTTTACATGGCAGCATTAGCATTCAGCAGAGCAAGTATCCTGACGCTGTGCTGATTATAGCAGGGGATTTCAACCATGCAGACTTAAAAGCAGCACTCCCTAAATTCCACCAGCATGTTAAGTGTGCTACTAGGGGAACTAAGATTCTGGACAAGGTCTACACCAACATCAAACTAGGCTACAGGGCTAGACCACTACCGCACGTGGGCCAGTCTGACCATTTGTCCCTGCTTTTGATCCCTGCATACGCCCCCATCAAGAAAACGGCTCCTACCATCACAAAAACTGTCGCCATCTGGCCTGAGGGTGCCACCCAGCAGCTGCAGGACTGCTTTGATAGGACCGACTGGGGGGTCTTCGAACATCAGGACCTGGAGGTGTTCACATATAGTGTATTATGCTACATTAAAAACTGCATAGACACTGTCACTGTGGACAAACGCGTTCGGGTTTACCCCAACCAGAAGCCCTGGATGACCCGGGAGGTCCAGCAACTGCTGAAGGAGAGGAATATCGCCTTCAACTCCGGAGACAAAGCTCCCTACAGTACAGCCCGAGCTAACCTGAAGAGAGGCATCCGCAAGGCCAAAGCAGACTACAGGAGGAGGATTGAGGAACGCCTGGACAGTCACGACAGCAGGCAGGTGTGGCAGGGAGTCCAGCACCTCACCAACTACAGGGCCAACCGCGGAGCTGCTGATGGTGACAACGCTCTGGCAGAGGAATTGAACCTCTTCTTTACCCGCTTTGAGGTGACACCACAAGGGACAGCATCACCAAACCTCACGGTCCACAGCAGCTTAAACCTCACAGTGGAGGAGCATGAGGTGAGGCGCACGCTGCGGGCCGTCAACCCGAGGAAGGCTGCGGGACCTGATGGCGTCCCGGGACGTGTGCTGAGGGACTGTGCTGACGAGCTGGCTGGAGTCTTCACAAGGATTTTCAACCTGTCTCTGGAACAGTCCACCGTACCAACCTGCCTAAAGTCCTCCACCATAGTCCCGCTGCCCAAAAAAACCCACATTTGCAGCTACAACGACTACCGGCCAGTAGCACTCACGCCAGTGGTGATGAAGTGCTTTGAAAAACTGGTCCGGAGTCACATCATAGGAAGCTTGCCCCGAAACCTTGACCCCCACCAGTTTGCCTACAGAGCGAACCGATCCACGGAGGACGCCGTGGCCACAGCACTACATGCTGCACTGTCACACCTGGAGCAGCAGGGGAGCTATGTGCGGATGCTCTTCGTGGATTACAGTTCCGCGTTCAACACCATCCTCCCACACAAACTGGTGGAAAAACTGGGCGACCTGGGGATTCCACATTCCACCTGCATGTGGATATATAGTTTCCTCTCGGGCCGCAGACAGAGGGTCAGAGTGGGCCGTCATACATCCACAGCCCTGAGCCTCAGTACCGGCTCCCCCCAGGGCTGTGTACTGAGCCCCCTGCTCTACTCCCTCTACACACATGACTGTGCCGCCGTCCACCATAGCAACACCATTGTGAAGTTTGCTGATGACACCACAGTTGTGGGGCTCATCTCTGGGGGGGATGAGTCTGCCTACAGGGACGAGGTGGAGCGGCTGACAGCATACTGCAGGGGCAACAACCTGCTCCTTAACACCGCAAAGACCAAGGAGCTCATAATAGACTACAGGAGAAAGAAAACGGACACTCCACCACTAATCATCAGCGGGGACTGTGTGGAGAGGGTGGCAGACTTCTGCTTCCTGGGAGTCCACATTGGGGAGGGCCTGACCTGGAGCGCCAACAGCACTGAGCTTCTGAAAAAGGCCCAGCAGAGACTTTACTTCCTGAGAATTCTCAGGAATAATAACATCACACAGAAACTGCTGGTGTCCTTCTACCGAGCCTCCATCGAGAGCATTATTACATACTGCATCTGTGTATGGTACACCAGCTGCACAGTGGCTCAGAGGAAAGCGCTCCAGAGGGTCATCAACACAGCCCAAAAGATCGCCGGCTGCCATCTCCCCACACTGGAAGAACTACACAGTTCACGTTGCATCAAAAAAGCACAGAACATTATAAAGGACTCTTCTCACCCTGGACACTCACTGTTTGAGCTGTTGCCATCAGGCAGACGATTCAGATCAGTCAAAACAAGGACAAACAGATTCAAACAGAGCTTTTATCCTACAGCGATCACCACACTCAATAATGCTAATTAATTATTAAGTAATAGCGTTTACAATTGACTGTGAAATAGAGATGTGCAATGACAAAATGTAACCTTATGTGGGTATGTGGGTATACTTGGGCTGTTTTTATATATAGTATAAATTGATTATCTTTCATTTAATTTTATTTTTATTTTCTTGTTTTATTTAATTTAAATTTATGAATGAGGCCCTGACTGGTGAGCATTTTAAATTTCGTTGTACTGGTGACAATGACAATAAACGATCTATCTATCTATCTATTATGAATACTATTAGTCGCGAAAGCCTACGTGTTAAATTGACTTCGAAGGGTTGCTAACAGATTAATATGAACAATCCTCCTACATCCAAATATATGTTTTCAACTTGCAAGTTGTTACGTTGACAACAACGCAATGTACAGGCTGTTCCAGATGTCTTGTGTATCCCAATTAATTGACCCCTAACATTGTTTTGTATTCTTTGAATACTTATCTCTGTTTAGATAAGCTTCACTTGAAAAAAAAAATTTTTAGAGAATGAAATGGCCGGTCAAAATATATCTGGACCACCCTGTACAGCAGCTACTTTCCTACACTGCCATTTTTTGCGCACTCTGCGACTCTCCTAAAAGGCTGACTCGACACCTTTTTTTCATATCGCTCATCGACATCCAACCATTTCGGGCGCGCACACAACCCGAACGTTACCGCATTGTTTCGGACACGGTAGAGAAGACCCAGGGACACCGCGCAGAGCAGCAGGCTGGCAAACTGGAAAGCAAGCAGTGCCTTTCGCAGCACAGATGGCTGAGTAGTGATGCATGCCTCCTCCTCCTCCCCTTGGGATATTTTCCATGGGCTCTCCCGTCCTGGAGAGACAGACCTCAGTGTGAGCACAATGTCATAATACCTGGCGGGTAAATGGGTGCAACCCTGCAAGTGTTTTGCCTTTTGCCACTGCTGGCAGAAGGACTCCTTCTGGAAGAAGCTGCAGAGAGCCCATCCAGAACGGTTGTTTGGCTAACTCTTCCGCGCTGAGCAGACGTTTTGTAAGAGATGGAAGTACCCGTGCACTTTAACCTCACCGCACGCACCTGCCAGTCGATCAACTTTGGTGTTCCTATTTATACTATTCGGGTTCACTTAGGTGGGGGAATTTAAGAAACTTGCACACGTTTCAATTGCTGCGCCAGGACATCAATCAAACTGCGCGACCTCTGCTTTGCAAAGTTCCAGTGGGCTAACAATTACATCATGGCCCGTGCTTTATAACGCATGGCAGTGATCACGATTACACTGGAAAGCCAAGTTTGCTCTCCTAACAAGCATTTATCTCATCAAGTGTGTGTGGTGGGTTATAGTGGCTGTGATGGCCGATGTGTCACGTGTAGCATTGCTGCTCAATCTGTCAGCAGCGTAGCTATCGAGTGTACATGTGGTGAAGCTGCACTGGGACCATGTGCCAGATGTGCCCATGCACTGCACTATGAAGATGTGGGGGGGGGGGGGGGGGATTGGATAGGGAGCCCCATTTCATTACCTTGCACTCAGGCCCATGCCAACCACACTACGCCACTGCAACATTCCCCAAACCTTGTTCCGTTTAGCCGTATTTTCCCTTGTTTTTTTGCATTTGTTATCTTTGGATTTTGAGTGTGGGTTGTGCATGCGTGGGTTGCTCTGTGCAGTACCTTAAGATGCTTCTATATTTAGATGCAATATAAATGTTAATTATTATATAGATTCTGAATGAATATTTTACTTTAAAGAAAACTCACAACATCTGTCTTTAACATTGGCTTCCAACAGAAGCATGCATGCATCGTATCCTAATGCTTTCAACAATGGCCTTGAAATGTGTGCATGTATGTTGAACTTCTTTCGCACCGTACGTAGGCCAACAGTGTTAATCGGAGGTGCGGGGGAAGGACAACAAACTAAACGCAAAAAACAGTTTTAAAAAAATTTGTTTTCAATCTTGGCCCTGGGAAAAATGGGAAAAAATTGTTTTCAATATAGGCCCTGTAGAAACTGGGAACTGTTGACTTAATTAATGTTAGTTTGATGACATCCTCAGTAGCTCTCAAGGCCAAGTAAAACATGAGTTTTATTTCACATTGAGCATGCCTCGTCAATTATCTTGTCAATTACCTTGTTGTAGAGGTTTGAAGTTGTCTCCAGGCAGATGATATGTTAAGATCGCAGGTATAAAAATACATTTAATTTAATTCCAACACTGGCAGTTCTGTGGCAGGTACTGTTCTAAGACATTCAAATAATAGGGCATGACATGGATTAGAAGTAGGAACGTATTGATTAATGGATTAAAATAGATTCCTAGTCTTGAGATACGTGCACAGAATGTATGTGACTCGACATTCGGCAATAGTTACTGTAGCGTGTAGCTACAGTAACTATTAATCATGCATTCAATAACCATGTTTCTTTTAATATCATGCATGCATGTCGTTAGTATATTGACGTACGAATATCCATTGTTTAAACATCATAAAGTGCGTGTGTTTTGGGTGACAAGGCGGTTAACTTTCGATGCTCTCGGTTTCGAAATGAGAACCCTTCGGCCGTGACATTTCCTGCTCGACCAAAATCACCTGGCGAGCGGTCCCCGCCGGAATCAATCAATCAATCGATCAATCAATCGGTCGTCGCCGCTAAGAGGGGGGGGCGGGCAACTACCGTGGATCGTTGGACACGATGTGGGGGAGGGGCAGAAGAAGTGTGAACCTATTACCGCAGGCTCCGTCGGAGGAGAATGCAGCGCAACTCTCTTCCATGTGTGGGTGCCTTCTTCACGAGCGCACGGCAGCCGTGGAGAAGACACGTGGTGGAGGTGCAATGAGGAACAGGCTCCACTTGTGGAGAAGGAAGAGAGAGAGGTCAATGAGTCGGACATCCTGTAACGATGCAAGTCTTCAAAAGGTTAGTGGTGTGCGTCTATCGGCTTGTGGGATCGGCCGTGAGCAGCTCTCTCTCTCTCGGTGTGGTTGATTTGCAATACAGGACATGATTGTTATACTGGTAGGAACCTCCTGGTTACACCAGCCCACAGGTCTGTCCCGACAGACCTGGTCTTCAGACAGACCTGGTCTTCACCTGAGGACGGCTGCTTGCGTTGTGGCCGAAACGTCGTGAGAATTATTTTATTACGTTTTATTTTTATTATTTTATTTTTTCCCTTCTACGTGACTTTACCGAAAGAACCAAGAAGAAGGGGGAAGCTCGTGAGCGTAAATGTTGCACAAGAGGAATGTGTTGCCTCTTTCTCTAGAGCTGTTCACTCTTCACAGAGCCACAAGCCCCCCCCCCCCTTGTAGCTCGCGATCTTTACTTCTGCTCCACTTGTGCTGTCTGTACGATCTCTAATGCTGCGTATGTAAACACACACACACACAGGCGGTGCCCGTAAAAGGCCCGCATAGTGATCGAAATTTAATATACGGCAAATTATATCATACCCTCTAGACGAGAGTAAACTATATATACAACTGCCTGCATTTGGCGGTGCTTCTGCCAGAGATGGGATGCAGTAAGAAATGTCTGAGCTACATCTTTGTGGTATAAATTGTGTGCAGATATTTTGGATCAGGACTCAGGAGTGTTCTTGCGACAGGTAAATTGAAAAACAGCAAATACATAAACGTTATATAAACACACACACACACCACCTCCTATGGCCAGATCGCCCGCAATGCACCTTATGTTGTCAGATCTCTTAAGCTAAGCAGTCTGAATAGATACAGCCTGAACGGGTGCTGTTATAGGGTGCTGTGAGTAGCAGAGGGCAGTGCAAGAAAAACATTGTACTGTTCGCCTATGCTCCCCACCTTCACAAACCCCACACTGACCCCAGCTTGGTGAAGCGTGGTTCAAAAACCTCATCGAGCAGTGGATCGACAAACACCCAGTTTGGACCTAGGTCTCCCATTATGTCTCAACTCTGTCGCACAGCCCTGCTTTGCTTAATTTTAATGAGCACTTTTGGCTGTCATCACCAATTGCTAATGTTAAGCAATGAAATTAATTGCGTGCTGTACTAGTAACGAATTGCCATGTTCCGTTTACGTGACAAACCTTACTAATTGGCTGGGTCGGGTGGTGGCTGGTTTAATGACACATTTATATTTATGCGTTCTAACCCAACAAACATATTTTGGACTGAAATGAATGTTTTTTTTTTATTAAATTTACAACATAATACTGTACCAACATTTTCCAATGGTATTTGAAGTTGCCTTATAAAATGGTGTATATTTATAATGAACAAAAAAATAGACCATTATTTTCATTTCCAACAACAATTGCAGAAAATTTACAATAAAACACTAAAGCACATAGCCTCTTTTTTAACCTTCTTGTAATATTAGCGTCAGAATGGATGCACGATTTCAAGTCCACTTTAAATACACACATTTTTTCAGAAAAAGTAACGATCTATCAGAGGCTAGAATAAGGATAGCCTGTCAACCCTACGGCATATCTTCTATGGTACACTAATAACTGGTATCATCTTTGCCTACCTGTGTTGAATTTAAGCGTCACTCTTTGAAAAAAAAATTGCTAAATTATCCGAATTATTATAGATTTTAAATGTTAACATTCAAAACATTCAGAAACAAACGTTTATAGGCCTAGGATTCAAACTCAAACCATTTAATATCCCCTAATTTTAGTGGAGGCCCATAATGTGAAAAGTATATTTTTTTAGGTTTGAAAAAACTGATTTTCTATTTCGTATCTTTTAACACTTCCAGATTATGTATTTTTGTTCTGCCTAATTGCCAAAATATCAACGTCACTTTACCCACGGCTTGTCTAGAAATTGGATATGAAATACTGTGACAAGAGAATCAGACCTTCGTCACACAGGCTACTTAATATCTAAACGTACGGCTTTAAACAAAATAATTCATGATTATTATTTTGATTATTGCTATACCTGTAAGCAGTCCACGGAGTAATGTGGCGTGTGCAGATCTTAGCCCTCTGCTTCCACCTCCACCCACTTCTTCACGAACAATGCAAACCGCTGCGAATTAATATTCCGCCAAAACCATCTAACATCTGAGCGCAGTACCACTCTTAGGTTTAAACAACAAAAAGTAAACCAATACCGACGAGTATATTCATCACCTTCACGTGAACAGTTTGTGCACTGCGCTCACCGCCAGACCGAGTACACAGGCACAGAGGGAACGGGAGGTCACTGAAGACTTTAGACCTGCAATCCGATTAAAGGTGATAAACCAAATAAGCCTTTAATTAGTTGCCTGATTAATGAACATTTCCTAAATCGCCACGCCACGTGCAGCGAGCCACAACAGATGTGCTATATAAATAAGTTTCACAGGAGTGAATTGGGTGCTATATTTCGTACGCATTAACACATTTCAGCCTCATGTCAATCCACTGCAGCATAAACGCCTACCCCCACCCATGTGTCGGATATGGCGGTTGTTTGGTCATACTTCACCGTGCTGGTCGGTATGTGTTTCTGAAAGATGGTGTGGCAGGACCGGGTCAGACAGATAAACCACTCCGCCACTGATGTTAGCCGTAGAGGGGAATCATACTCAGGTCGCCAGTTCCATAGTGCAAGTTTGGTTACCATTTTACAGCCACCTCTCCCTAGGTGACATCTATAGTAATATGGTTGACGTCTGTTATGGGTTTATATACCTGGAAACCCATACGGTTTAGCCGTATTTTTGTGTAGGGAAATTTAGTTTTTAGGTCCGTACGGCGTACAGCCGTTTCATTCCGGGCCAAAATTTTTGTTTTGTCTATTTGTTTGTGTTTCTACCTTGTGATGGAACTTTACAGGATGAACGTTGGGA